TAATAATTTCTTTCAACTGTTACATTTATTTATTTTTTTAGGATGGAGTAATGATGTTTGCTGTACAATGATTCCAGTCTGGAAAAAAGAACAGTTCAAATAAATCGTTACAAGCCCAGATTATCTTGACATTCATGCTAATGATGAGTGTATGTAAACTTCTGTCCACAACTATATATGTAGTGAAATTAATGCACAGCATTTCAGTTTCCTTTGTGTGTGTGTGTTCCAATATTCAGGTTCATGAATCCATTTGGCATGTTCCTGGGTGGAGCTGTGGTGGCACTGGTCTTTGCAGGATCAGTCTGGGCAGGAGAAAATAAGGCCACTATCAAGAACTTCAAAAGGAAGAACCCCACTCTGTTTGTCATTGGTGTCATGGTCACCAGCTACTTTCTGCTTTCACTCTGTGGTGGAGTCATGGTCTTCATCTTTGGACTCACCTTTCCTTTGCTCTGTAAGTATATTACACAAGCATTTTCCATTAATTTTGATATTCACCATGTTGGATAATTTGTCAACACCCAGCACAACACTACAAGTACACTACTTTTTGATTATAGCGTCAGTTAATTATTGTTTTTGTTTTAGCTTGGGGTTAATTAGAAATAGTTTCATTAAACAGTTTGTCCAGCAGAATGTGCTCCAAATTCAGTGGTTACTAATACTTTCAGCGCATGTAGCAGAGAAAGCATCAGTATTGAAATTCAAAAGACTCACAAGTCACCTGCTTTTTGCTCCATGGGGCATTCTAAGAAAGGAAAGGAAGCGCATCCAGGATATGCTGACTGGCCAATAACTTGTCGATCAAAAGGCATTAGCCAGTGAGCTAACGGATCTGTTGCAAACACCTGGTGCCAGATACCATAACACAACTTCAGGGCCTAAAGTCAGGGCCTCAACAGATCAGCAAATGCTATTAGCCAGGTGGTCATAATGTTATGCCTGACTGCTGTGTATCTAAGAATATTTGTTAGTGTATATACAACAGAAAAATTCTGGCTATTAGGAGTAGCTCTGATTGAAATCTTCCCAATAAAGATATTGTGAATTTCTTTCTAATGTTAACCTGATTTTATCTGTTACACTGGTTACTCACTTTAAAAATAAAACACAGTATATCCTGTAATTTATAATATTGGAATTAATTGAGCTCTTAGTCATTTTATATAAAAAAAATAGTGACTCATTCTATGATAATTAATATCATTAATAGAGCAGTTTTCCTCATAAAATCATTCCTTAGGGATTATAAAAGTATTCAGATTCTGATTAATCAAGCTTGGAATTTTCTTTGGTTCACTCTCAGTTTCTTGACAATTGAAAGGGAAACGTGCTAACTTTGTTACATTAAGAACCTTTTCGAACTTCGCAACTTGTACAGACTTGAGACCGTTCCCTATAGTATATTGCTAACATCTGGCTAATGTTATGCAATGAAAACTGCCAGGGAGAGTGGCGATGAGTCACTGAAGCATTTGAACAGTATGTGCAGAATTGCTGATGCGCATTTCCTGTTGACGCTGATTGTAAAATAAAGTCAGTATTACAGGCTACTTCTCTCTAAATATTTTTAGACTCTGACCATCAGCAGAGTGGTTCAGATAATTGGTGGGTTAGGTTCCTCGAGCAAATGTAGCAGCTCTAACATTGTGGCAGACAGATGAGGCAGTTTGATTCTTCCCAGGAGGAGTGCCCACTGCTGCTTGTGTTGACTCGTTGCTATGGGTTGTTGACAGGACCACATTTACTAGCTGATGTCATGCATTCAGTATCTGTCTGACATGGAAATAAAAGATTTACCTTTCCTAACACCTGCTTAATGTCTGCGTTTCAGGAGTATCACATTTTGTTTTGGCAATTTTCAACATGTGTTTCAGTAAAAACATTAACCTTGCTATACTTAAATGTATTCTATCCCCTCCTTACTGAAACAATATTAATAGGCTGCTCTTGTTTATCCCGTAGTAATCTTGATCCATGCCTCTTTGAGACTTCGCAACATGAAAAACAGGCTGGAGAACAAGATTGAAGGTGTTGGGCTAAAGAAGACCCCCATGGGCATCATCATGGATCTCCTGGACCAACAAGAGGAGAAAATTAATAAGATTCAGGATTTCATTGAAAACAAACTGAAGGAGTAAGAGTGCAGCCAAGAGTGTGCCAAAAGAAATCAGTGTCATACATTATGGATTAAAGTTTCTGTAGAATTGTCTGATAAGTTCCAGTTTAAGCCCCTTATAATAATAATAAAGTTACAGATTTTTTTTTTCCCTCATTCCCACTTTTTTTTTTTTACCCATTTTAGTTTAATATATACTCTTACATGTTTGTGTGAGTTCACAATATCTAAGGGGTAAAGGTGAATCATGTCATTATAACAGGGTTCGCACAATCATTGTATGGATTGGATGTTGGGATCAAAGTTTTTAGCATTCCTGTGTCAAAATATGTCCACAGACACGTGATTCCCCATCGTTGACAGTGCACTTTGTTCTACACAGTAATCAAGTATTTATTCAATCCAAATAAAATAGAATGTTTGAGCTGAATAAACAGTGATTAGATACCAGTTATATTTGTTCAAAAAAAAAAAAATTCATTTCCTTTCAGTTTGCTACCTCAAAATGAGCACGTTTATCTTTATTCTCACCGAGTAGACCCAGATTACCAAAACGCACCGCTGCCACCAAGTGAACTGCTTATTAAACCGCAATAACTCCAATTTTGTCATTGCAGGAGCTTTATGAATGCTGAAAAAAAGTTTGCTTCTTGCATAGACATTGTCACTTGTCCTTACTCAAAATAATAATGCAGTGTGGATATTCGATTTGTCACAAGATTTGTGCATACAGTTTCTGACTGTACACGGTGGCCTGAGTGCATCCCCTCTGTTCACAGCTATGCAATAGGGAAAAATGAATGGCAAGTGCAGCTTTATCATTTGAGTATATGTTATGTATATTTTTGTTATTTCTGATGTGTCATTATTTTAGCATGCAGAAATGTATTTTAAAAAATAAATTTACAACTGACTTTTAGCACATTTCCCTGTTCATTAGTCGACATCTCATGGAATTCTGAAAAAAGTTACAATAATTATTATTTTATACTGATATACTTATACTGATCTGTTCAGAAATGCACACTGAACGCAGTTTGTACTGCTACCTACTCAAATGTCAGTTCATTTTTAATTGGTTTGGGATGCAGCATTATATGTGTGTGTGTGTGTTATATGTTTTTTGGTGACATTTCCATTCTTGAAAAGTGATGAATAGAAATAAAATTTGGCTGTCCTCTATAAAAATAAATGTAATTTGATTTACAGTACTGTGCAAAAGTCTCAAGCCATCGCTCATATCTATATTTTGCTGGGAAAATAAGAAGTGGGTGAAGCAATTTCATGAAATGTGCAAACATCAAACAAATACAGCATATGAGGTAAAAACAGAGTCTCCATCTTTCTTTCTTTTTTCTTTATGATGCCTGAACACAGGCAAAATGAAAGGTTTTTCATTAAGTAGTCTTCAGGAATAGATCTCCAGGCTTCTTGTGGGACATCCATCCAAAGCTCTTCTTTGGATGTTGGCTGCCTTTTGTTCTGTTTTCTGTCAAGATGATCCCACATGGCTTCACTAATGCTGAGGTCTGAGCTCTGGAGAGGCCAAATCATGTCTGGTACTAATCCTCTGTGTGTTTTCCTATCAAGGTGTGTTTTTACTACGTTGGTTGTGTGTTTGGAAATATTCTTGTGATAAAAAATTAGGCTGTTGCCAATCAGATGCGTTCCACATGGTAATGTATAGTGGATCAAAACCTGACAGTACTGTACTTTCCTGCATTCAAAATGAAACAAATTTGATAAGATCCCCAACATCACTGGCTGAAATGCAGCCCTGAACCATGGCACCATGACTCTCCACCATGTTTTACAGATGGCTCTAGACAGTCATGGTTGTGCCCCCTCCCACCCCCACCCTTTAGACACTGAAAGTGATTTGAACCAAATTTCAAATTTAGATTCCCTGCACAAGATGTTTTGCCACTGGTTTGTAGTCCAGTTCCCGTGTAATTTTGCATACCTCAGCCTTTTCTCCCTGTCTCCCTTATTTAAGACTTCTTGACATCCACCCTTCCACTCAGAAGATATCTGATGAAGCTTCAGCAAACAGCAGATGGATCAACTGAACGGCCACATGAATGTCTCAGTTCCTCTGTCAGGACTTGCCTGGATTTTTCCCCGAATCTCTTAAGAACATGAATTTTGCATGCTGTTGTAGACAGTTTTTTTCAGCTTCCCACTTCTTCTTTCATCCTCTGCTTGCACAATTTTAAACCAAATTATTGGTAAATGATAATATACTGGTTCTTATATAGTGCTTTTCTACTCTGCAGGAGCACTCGAAGCACTTAATACAATTTACTATTCATCATATTCATACAAACTTTTTTGCTATACCTAAGTTCTTTTTTCTTTCACATTGACACTATGATGAACACATCCGAGAGTAAGTTGTGGTTCAGTGTCCTCTCTAAGGACACTTTGTCATGCAGCCTTGAGCAGCCAGAGATTGAACTACCGACCTTACAGTTTGTAGATGATCAGCTGAAACTGTGTTAATTTTGGCATTTTTGTTATATTCAAATAAATGGCCTTTGCAAAGTACTTTATGTTGCAGACTTTGTTCCAGATAAGTCTAAAACAAAAAGTATACTGTAGGATTTTACTGAAAAAAGAGAGAGAAAAACGACTACTGAATGGAGGATTAGTGGGGGAAATAAAACCTTTGCAGATATTTATATCTTTTGAATAAACTGTCTGGGAGGCATGAATTTACTACACAGATTATATGAGTAATTTTATTTTCTATATCCAGCGCTCATTTCAGGATGAAAAAATGATCCCCTCGGGATGGATGTGCATTACAGCTAATGGCACCTCTACAGTGACCAGTGATGTTGAATTAATTTAAAAAAACATCCCCCAGCAAAGAGTGGAAGGTTTATATTATTTAATAGCAAAATGATTAAGTCACAAACATTTAATCAAACACGCTTGCTAATTAATTTTAAGCACAAAGATCAGAGAAATTGTTGTATATGTAGACATCATGAACAAATACTGTGTGAATACACTTTTTCTTCTTAACCATGCACTGTATTCAGAAGAGCTTTCAAATTATGAAAGGGTAACACGCTTTACTGTAGAATTAATACACAATATTTGGCTGTAGTCAGTGTTCATAATTGCTGTGACTTTGCAAAGACTATATCACGTATTGAAATAAAACAGAACTAACCAGTATTTTTCTCTAGGTAATTAAAGTTCAGTAGCAATTTGTACTGTTCATGTGAAGTGACTAATACTGAGCATGTGTAATAAAAACAAATACTATGGTGAAGAAACAGCAGCGCCTTACAGGAGACTCGTTTCACTTGATTCCAGGGCTTTAGGGAGAGGCACCTGTGAGAAGCAACAAAGGAAAAGAACAGCAGGTTTAGTTTGCTTTTTAGGACAATGCATGCTCTATTAAAACACCTTCAGAAAATGAAAGTGTTATGATAAATGCTCTTCTGTTTTGTGAGCTTGAACACTGTTCCACTTTTTGAGCAATTAAAAAATGTAATTTCAGGTAATACTGATTCTAAGGTACTCACAGATTTGAGATAAGCCACGTTGCTCTTTTTGATATCATTTAGGAGCTGATCACGAGGTGTGACGTCAACCTTTGGAGGTAATCGTCTGCGAGGGACAGGTTTTAAAGACTTGATCACGTCAGTCAGGTTGGCCGTTTCATCCTCATTCCCTGCACTGCCTGTATCCTTCACTTTGGGAGTCTTCCTCAGTTGAAAGCTTGCCCTCTCTGATCTTCTATCATCTCTTGGGTCCAGCTCGAATAAAGGATCCCGTTTTTTTGGAGTTCTCCTCAGCTGAACATCCTTTAATGGGTTTGCTGGTTCATCACTGGGTTGTTTGGGAATGCTTTTGTGTTTGATCTTCTTCTGGGGCTCTGGTTGTTCTGTCTGGTGTTGTGTTTGCACAACAGCATTCAGCTCTGATGAGGGTGGGGCAAGTCCATGCTCCTGTAGGAATTCTATGGGTGGTATGTATCCCAGCATCTCAAGTAAACCAGGAGGTAGATTGAGACTGCTCTCATACATCTGCATCAGCTCCCTCTGCTGCTTTAGCTGTTGCTGCCTCTGCTCTTCCTTCCTCAGCTGCCTCTGACGGTCCAGATTCCTTGTTAAAATGTTGGTCACTACCATCCTGGGCCCTGGCTGTTCAAAGTGGTAGCCCATCTTCAGAAGGGTGTTGTTGGCCTTGAGCAAGCGAGAGATTTCCATCTCTGCGTGATGACCTAGCATATGCCTCTGGTTGTGAAAACGCAGCTCTGTGAGAGTCTCATTGAACTGGAGGCAGCGAATGATGGCAACGATGCCTTTGCCAGTTATGAAGTTTGACTCAATGTTTAAAGTCGTAATGCTGCGATTCTCTCGTAGCATGTTGGCTAGATTGAAAGAAATATTTTCATCGACACCAGTGTTGGCTAAACTGAATGTTTTAACATATTTATTCTTCTTCAGGGCGTTGACATAGTCCACGAGCATCTCTTTGGGAATGTTTTCTATATTGTTGAGGTTTACCTCAGTGATAGAGGGGTTGTTTTTGCGGATCTTATCAAGTGTTGACTCCAAGTTTGTATCATTTCCTGAAGGCCTTGATGTAATTTTTATATTATTGAGTGAAAGCTTCGGGATTTTCAGTTTACCTATTTTTCTCTCTTCTTTCTCTGGAAGCTTCTCATTGGGTTCGACTGTTTCTGGCTCCTCTGGAGCCTCTTGGGGAGGCAAACATTTTGTACTTTTATTTCCTTCTTTCTCTTCAGTGTTGTGTTTCAGAGCTAAGGTCTCAGTAGTCTCCTTTGTGTCTGAGAAAGGCTGACTGTCAGTTGTATTTTTTCCTGGTGCTTTTTCTGTGATATCCAGAGGCTCTGCGTGTTCTTCTACATTGTCAGGTTGGACTTCAACAAGTTGCTTCGTCTCTTTCTCTCTTCCCACATCTATTATTTTGTCCTTTTCATCCCTCTCATCAACTTCTTCTTCTTCAACAATTTCCTCAATAATCTCCTCTATAATTTCCTCTCCATTTTCACAATCTGCAGCTTCTTCTTCAGTGACTTCCTCTATGACTTCATACACCTCATATTTGCCACATCCTGCGTTTTCTTCTTTTTCTTTCTTTTCAGATTCCTCCCTCAAGGTTTTCTAAACAGTACATTAGGACATTAAGATTAGAACTATGACATTAATGGTATGCACCAAAAACTGAATTGTACATGAACCTTTGCTAGAGTTATCTCTTACCTCACTGGGCAGGAGAGTAGCAGGCACTCTTTCTTCCTCGAGCATACGTTTAGACTCTTTCTCCCAGTAGAGGTAATCAACTAGGGATCTGTGGTCAAACGTCCCTGTAGGTGGTTTTTCTGTCTGGTCCTTCTGTCTCTGTCCTACTGGTACACTCTCGTCTGGTGCAATAATAACATCCATCTCACTCTGAAGCTCCTTAAGTTCCTCAGGCGAAAGCATTGCAAGGATTTCATCCTCATCAATGTCCTCTTCATTGAGATCCTCAAGGTCTCTGCCGTTAGACATATTTGCACTGAAGTTTTAAAGTTGTGTTTTCCTGTCGATATCAAGGCAAAAAACAACTTTTTATCCAATCTCTGACTCAACACAGAGCAAACTGGGAAGCCTCTGACTTTGACTTTAGCTAGAAACCGTTTGATCCTGCCTCACGGACTAAAATAAACCCTGTGAACTACATGGAAGATATTTACGGTACCAACAGGGGAAAGACATGCTAACATTCTTTTTTCAGACCCTTCTGCCAGCTGCCCTGGTCATCACAATCTTTTGAGATGACAGTTGCTTCAGGCAAAAGGAAAACGCTGGATTGACTGCAGCAGGTGCGATGTTTTTACAGGCCTAGCGGGAGGGCTAACATGTCCCATGCAAACAGAGCTCCTCCCAGAGTTACACAACAAACAAACCATGAGCAAAAAGAGTTAGCTTGTTTTCAGGGGTTCGTTATCACAATCACTTTAGGCCTTGTATACACCTAACCCACAGTTAGGTAGTATATTTTTCTATATGTTTGGGCCTTTCATCCACACGTAAACATAAAAACTCCTTTCAGAGTGAAGATTTGCAGTTATCTTCTTTATTGAGGAGACCTTTGTTGTTTGTACACTTTTGAATGGGCAGTTTTTCTATTGTAAGGAAAAACTTGTTTCTCCCACTCGAGCAAATGTTGGGTTAATATCTTTAAATATCAGCTTTCTAGCTTACTAACTCAAAATTTCTAAATTTTACTCAGGAGTAACTCAAAATGTTGAGCTAGTTTACTATCTCAATAATAACGATGAAAGTAATTACCAATCTTTACAAGTGCTGGGATACAGATATTTCCTGGCTAGCTGATTTGCAGTTAGCTAACAGCCTGGTTTCAGCCTATGTTTGTTGGACAGATAAGAGGCTGGGATTAGTCTCCTTATGATTCTTGGTGAATAGCATTCATTATCATTAACATTATAATTTCTCAGTAAATAGTTTGATTTCTTTAAGTTTTTCTTAGCAGAACTCAACCATTAAGAACTGTGCAAGCTTCACAAAGAAAGTGACAGCAGGCATATTTGTGTCACACATATGTTTATTCACCTTTTATTTGAGTGGAAAATATTTTATGACAACATCTAACAACATGTAACTACACACTGACTGTACAAATGTGTGAGAAAACAATGAGAAATGGATATGTTTTATGGCAGTGGTCTTCTGTTAATATAAAAAAGTCTGAACTTTGTTTTTGTTTTTTTTAATCCAAAAAAATCTATTTTCTCACCATGCATTTTAAAACACAATAAAGCACTAACAAAGACTAATGGTTCTATAAACAATATTGACATGATACATTCTGATTTAAAGAAATGGAACGTCATTAAATACACAGCCTGTTCTAATGATGATTAACCCAGCTTTTGTCATGTCACACTTGTAAACATGCCCAAGCTTTGCCTTCAATCTCGATGTTATATTTAAGATGAGTTTTATCATTTATCATGAGAGAAAAGTGGCAATTGTTTTTTGTTTTTATTCTATAACCTACTGATTTGTATAAGGCAGTAGCTAGTTTCTGTTAAAACACATGGTGGTGGATTGAGTAAAAACACGTTTGTTAGCTTTGTTATCTTTTAATACACAGTACGGTTTGAATCCAGTGTGGTTGTGCAACATTTTAAAGTTTCTTGACACATTCTCATCTGCCTGTACAATTCATCCAATCCAAGGCACATGGGAAAATCATTCAAGAGTGTCATCACTGTGTTTAGAGATTACGACAACATGAGGACAGTTTACACCTCTCTGCCAAAACCAAAACGAGAAAACACCTTCAAAGACGAGGTTATGGCAGCCAAAAACATTTGTGTAAAGCCTGCGTTTCCACTCCATTCCCTTCATGTGCTGCTGGCTATGGCTTTATTTGTGCCACAGTTTGGTTTGGTCCTCTTCAGTGGATGCTCATGTAGCTCCCATCAAGGTAAAATCTGTACAGGCAATAACACAAGACTAGGTAAGATCCGCTGTAGTAGTTATTTGAGAACAAGAAACAAGGCTGACATTTTAAATAAAGCTGATGGATGGAAATGGAAATACATTGCACTTTAAAGTCCACCATATTTTTGAAGGCGTACAACATGACCAGGGCTTTATGGAGTAAATGGCAAGGCCTTTTCACTCTGGCAATATAACTTTAGGAGGGACAGTATTGGTTGTTTGGTCACTTTTGTCCAGACTTAAATATCTCAGCTGTTAGGATGGACTGCCTTTCAGATGTTCATAATCTCATCTTGATAAGGCTTGCTAAGCTTTTATCTCCCGAGTTTCCTTCACTGCTACAAAAAGACTGAATTTCTGTTTTCTGCATTCGGGTGGTTTTAGTATGTTTCTAAACATGTAATAATCCTTCTTTGCCTTGATATATTAGGTGCATGGCCTTGATCATGATGACTGATGCATTTTTGAAAAAATGGAGCCTCAAAAACAGCAAAACACAGTGTAAAAAAAATAGATGATATATATGAATGAGCTGTACACGAATAACACGGATGACGACGGGATGTCTGAATGGAGACGACTGGCAACACGACACAAAGTGGCCCGCTGTGTTTGGTCTCACCCTTAAGTGCTAGAAAGGTTGTCTGATGGTTCAGCTGCACTAGTGGCCTCAGCGCCAACCACATCTACTGACTCACATTTTTGGGGCATTGTGTCAGACTCTTTGTTTTCTGGAGAATTTCTGCACACATGAGCATAGAGCGTAAGCCAAGTAACGAAAGGAAGGAGAACAGATCACGCTGGCAGAATACAATCATAAAATAAAACCGCTCTTTAAAAGAAAAGCAAAAGAATGCAGAAAAATACACGTATCATCCAGATGTAGAGGAGCGGCAGGGTACCCGCCTACCATTGTGTTAAGAAAGTAACAATCAGCATTTTAGTTTAATCCAATGATTATGACTGTCTCTAACTTATTGACTTTATTTATAACCACAGCCTCAGTGTGGAGATTCAGTGAACTGAAGCATTCACCTGTTATGTGTGGGACTGCGGTTGTACAGGGATGCTGAAGCTCCAGGATGAGGGTACTGAGGTGTGTCAGGTGCATCAAACTCTGTCAGGCCGACTGCCAGCTGGTTGCGCCAGTTCCCTGTGCTCTCTGCTGAGGAAACTGAAAAGAAGAGAAAAGCATGAACACTCAAATAACGCTGGAGTGCACAATATCTCAAAAGCCTCAAAAACTATAGTATTTCTCTCACACAAAATACTATGTGATACTTATTACTTTGATAGTTTACGAATGTATATCTTTAAACCCACAAACTGTGTCTATTTCTCACATGGCAGCCTAGAAAACCCTGTGATAGAATAAATGAAACCCCTCAAATATACACAAACAACACATAAATAAAAATCCTGTGAGTAGGAAAGCAGCCTACGCATCCTAACATCAGTGACACTACAGAACATGACCAATTAACTTGTAATTATGATTTTTTTTCATGTTATTAAACCTGAACAGCAGCCTAACGTTTCCCTAAATTACAAACATTGAAAATGATTTTTATTTTATTATTGACAATTCCCCTCACGCTAATGCGTTCGACTGTACCTGAAGAGAAAGAGGTGGCTCGGCTCGAGTGGCTGAAGGCCGCCGGCATGGTCTGATATCCCAAGCTGAGCTGAGAGCCACTGTCAAAGTCATATCCAGCCAGTAATCCCCTCCCTCCTTCCCTGTGGCCTCTGTTTCGGTGGTACCAGCCTCTCAGGTGCTCTGCAACCAGGGCCTTCTGCATGTTCTTGGCCAAGAGCTCATTTCTAGGCCCCTCTCTGGTCCGTGGTGGCCTCACTGTTGCGTATGGATTCTGAGAAAGATTATCCGCCCCATCACTGCTGTAGTGCCTGAATCTGTCATGTCCGTGATACCCATTCATTTGGTAGGATGGGTTGACGTTGTAGTGGCCTTCGACTTCATTCTCATATACATAGGCACCATTAGCATAAGGCTCCATGTCCGGACAGGGGTAGCCGGCAACATAGTAGGCACTGGGTGCATAGTGTGGTGAGGCCTCACATGAATAACTACAACCAGAATGGTGCTGGACCAAGTTTGGCATGCTCCCAGTATTACCATACACTTCTACTTTTCTGTGAAGACGATGCATGGTTGAGGTACGGGAGTCCAGTGTACTGTAGTGGGAGTTGGCAGCCCCGCAGTAGTCCAGACTTGACTGGCTCGTGTAAGAGGAGCAGTCTTCTAATACCTCTGTGCTGTTGCTGCGGTGGGCCGGTGACAAGATAAAGACGGGCTTCTCTGAATCTCTGTCTTTTCTCAGCCGAGGCTGAGACTCCAGACTTCCACTGCGATGCCTGAAGCAATGAGGAGATCCCTCCAACCTGCGAATATGACACCAATTTCAAAGTGTCTTTGAGAAGATCACGATTAAGATACGGGATATTATTTTTGGATTTAGGTGTTAAAATAAAAGTTAAGGTTTTATGTGAAAGCATGGTAGAAGGTTAGGGTATTAAGAGAAGCAAGGGTTTGATTAAATAAAATAAAGAAGGATAAACACTGGCTTGGCAGGGCAGGGGAACAAAGATCACACCTGAGCTGACTGCTGCTGTAGGCATTGCGGGTCATAACCGGGGTGGGAGGCATGCTGCGAGGATCTCTAGGAGGTCTGGGAAGGGTTTTATAGGGACTACTGTGGGTGGAGGAGACCTCTCTTGGATTCTGGTAGTAATTGGAAGCCTCCTGGCCATCAACAGCTAATCTAAATGGGTGCAGTATCAAAACAGGATTTTAAAAAAAAAGGAAGTAAGAAAATGTGAGGAAAGGAATGAGGCAAACATGACACAACAAATACTATGGGCTCTACCGATGCATGATGTCATCTGCTCATTCTGAAAACAGCTTAAAATAAAATATAAGGCTGTAAAACAAATTAGATTCCACTCTACGACTCACACAAGCAATAAACAGTTTGAACAGAAAATCCCAACCTGTTGTGGTTCTTGTTGTGGTGATTATCCCGTGGAGATGCCTGTCTCTCCAAATCAAATTCTGCTCCCAGTGATCGCATTGGACTTAGTTGAGGGGATCCTTGGACTGACCGTGAGCGTGGCCTTTGACTGAGACTGTCTGAATCATCTGATTACAAACACAGTGACAAAAAAGGACACTCCTGTTTTCTGGGTTTGGTCATAATAAGAAAGCATCACCTGTGTTGTAGATGTCTGACTCACCATCATCCAGCGGGAGACTAGACAGAGAGCTGCAGTTTGAACGAGCGAGTTCATCTGCAGGAAAAGAAAACAACTTTGTGCTTGCTGTGACTCGATCTAACACATTCAGTAACAAATATCTTCCAACGTACCTGCAATGATGACTGAGGACCGTTGTGTGGGCTTTTTCCCCTTCTTGATTCTGTACTGGTTCATCTCATCCTCTATCTGTTGCAGTTTCTGCATAGCATCCAAACAGTTTCTCCTTCTTTTCTTCTTAACAGTTTTGCACAGTTCTGGTTCATTTGCGAGCTTCTTAGCCGCCTCCACAATCTTCTGCTGAAGGGCAAATCTGCTCTCCAGGTTTCTCAGGATGGGATCCTGCATAAATCAGAAAACGTAGGTGATAACCAGAGATAAAAATAGAGAGCAAGCATTCAGATATTCAGCAGGTACATGTAAGTAAATTAGAAATCACTGCCATTTGATACCTGTGCTCACTGAACATGTTACAGAATAGATCTAATTAGAGTTTCATATCAGGTCGACCTAATTAAAATTATTATTTAAAAAAACGCTGCAGGTGTAATGCTCTGACTGCTGCTGATGTTTTCCTTATTATAATTTCATTTAAAAAATAATAGAATAGACTAAAATAGCATATCTGTGTCTTAGTAGACAACAGAGCCACCCACTGCAATGTGTAACACACAGTTGGGTTTGTAATAACGTAGAGAAAAAAAAACTGAGCTATGAGGAAAAGCTTAAGCTCCGTCAGACTTTAGCTGCGTTCCTCGCTCAGTTAATATTGGTGTTATCTTTCTGTGCAATTTGCTGACATTATTAGAAATCTAAAAAATAAAATCTAAAAGTGAAACAATTCCAGCGTACAGCGTTGAAACAAGATACACCAATTGTTTATGCTTTAAAATGCAGTTAAATACGCACCTCATTGTAGGGAAAAAGGTCATCTAACTTGAAAGCAGTGCCAACTCGCCGTCTGACCTGTGGTGGTCTTTCACCTGAAGAAAGGGGATACTCTTTTGGCAGTTTGCCGGTAAGCTCCTGAAAGCACAAAACAACAAATCCTCTGGACGCTTAGATGAGGTGAGTGCAGCAACAGAAACAATTAATCTACCAGCGGCAGAGCAGCGGTTTATTAAAGGGAGTTTTTGAGAAAAAACAGACCGATATAACTGTAGCACAAAATGATTTCTCACCGCCTCTCTCAGGCAGATCTTCTTCAGCTCTTTTGTTTTCTTAGCCAAAATATCTTGAATCTCCTGTTCCTTTTTTCTTAGTTCAGTGAGTTTTTCCTTCTTTTGCTCTTCACTCATTTCAGAGTCTGCTGAACCTGGAAAAACAGAATTCTAACTGAAATTGCCAACATAGCCTACCACACCCATTAATATAAAAATCACACCCATGGCATGTGTACTGTGTGACTCCTTCACGTGTCACCTGTTCTTTTTAAATCTCATTCAGCTGGATGTTTATAGCTCTTTGTGACGATAAATCTGATCTGAAGTTACAGTTTTACATGTAAAAGCATACAAACAAGTTACACAGAAATGTGCTTTCGTTATATAAAATAATTATAACCAACCTGTAGATACCAAACTCCCATTGCTGGCTGTTATGAAGTTATTCTTAAGGCCCACATCACCCAGTCTGTTTATTTTCGCCCCTCCATGCTCTGTGAGGTCCATTGCAATTTCCTCTAAACTTCTTGTTGTTCCGAGTTTAGCCTACAAGAATGAAGAAAACGATGTAAAACAAAGCAATAAAAACGTGCAGTGACTCATAGCTGACACTTACTTTGCTTTGCTTTCTGTCCAAGTAGAACTGATGCTGACTAATAGCCATGACCCAAATGGTCTTGATTAAAGAATGGCTTGCATACCACGTGTGGATGAGTAGCCCCGTCTGCCCAAAGGTTCGTTTGGTTACCGCTCTCCTAAACAAACCACGGAAAACATTACGCTTTTTTGGTCACAGTTAAACTAAAAGTTGCAGTGAAAATGATGATTTTTTTTAGATACATTTCTAAAGATGGATGATATCAGTGTTAAGAGCTAAACAAAAATGAAAACAACATAATAATCAACTTGTAAAAACAGTCATTGTAAGAATAACAACAAGCATCTCTACACGAGGATCCCCCGCTGCTCACCTGTGTGGATCATTAACTTCTACGGCAAACTTTTTCTCACGGAAGTACAAGTTTTCCAGCTGCTTCCACTGGTACAGCTGGTGGTAAAAACACAAAAAAACATTCCCAATGAGAGAAAAGCATATGTGTTGTTCACACTCTGAAATATAGCACCTTGGATGTTTGGATAATGCGCAGAGTAATGTCTAGTTGTAGCTTCATATAAAAAAATTCTTCATGTATGTCTTTTTCCAAAAACACCTAGAACACGATAACCATGATGGTCATGACTAATATCAAAAAAACTATGTTGAGCAGGTGTTTTCTCAAGTCTGTTTCAACCACAGTTATTAAAAAGCCAGACTGTAACATAAACTGTGATTAAAGTCTTGTCTACCTGGCATGCAAAGTCTGCAATAATGCAGGTGTTGGAGAGAGACGAATACCATAAGGGGTCGTCATATAAACACTCATCATTTCCATCCCCCTATCACCCAGGTGCTCACTGACAACAGCTTAATATGATCAATCCGTTTAGGTTTCTGACTCACTGTACGTCTGGACAAGATCCGAATGAGACACAAACAAAAGCTTACACAGAGTTTTGTCCGCTCAGGTTTGCGTAAACCAAATAATTTCAAAGAGTGATAAATATTTAAGTCATAAAATACATTCGAAGTTGGCAAGACAAAGACCTGTAGTATTTAGCCTTACCAGAATAATAGATCCTCACACGTCCTGTGTGTAAAGTTATTAAGTCTTCCCTGGCTTTGCTGTCAATACAAAAACATAGTTTGTACTGTCTTCATGTCAGCTCCTGACTTGTCTCCTCAGGTATTCTGCAAACATGCAGGCTAACGCCCAAATCCAACCCCTTCTTTCTTTGACATCACGAGCTGACACCCTCTTTCCCTCTCGAAAGCACACCCTGCAGCTGTCAGCTTACACAGTTTTGCAATGCATCAGGCAGCGATGGATTGCATCATGTTGAGCAATACAGAGGTTTAACAGGAAGGCATTGCTAGTGATTTAATGCAAATTGCACTGAACCTTCACATTCTATCGTAATAGCAGTTCGGTGCATGTCTGCATCCCGCTGCACTGGGATGTACTGAAGTCACCTAGTGGAAGAGATAGCTGACAAATCACTCGTATGGGTGTTTCTCCTGTCAACCCACAAGCTAAAACAATACCAATGAAACGGGAAAAGCAAGTTCGCAATGTCTCCATGATTCTCCAGAGTTATTCAAAACTCACTAACCTCATTAAGGATAAGTGACAGCCTCATCTACACTGAGAGTTTGCTCTTTTTCTTTTCAAGTCTAGCCTTGTCTGGCACAGCTGAAGCTCAGCCTTTTGCTCGAGTGAAACAGATGATGCGTGAATTAACACACCGTGTGCAACAGCAGCAGTCCTTACACATGCCTTGTGCTATCATGTTCACAGTCAGATTAGTGGAGCAGAGAAAAAGCAGCAGCCATTTTAAAGATCGAGCTCCAGGGAGTGTTTACCTTCCGAGGTTTTAATTTATCCTGGAGATCATACTGGCCAATGCCCTTATAGCTGATTCCAAGCCACCATGGGATCCCCTGTTTATCCTGTAAGGCAAGAACAGAGCTCCTATGGTTGACACAGTTCCAGGTGCAACAGCTGTCATGTCATATTAATCACAAAAAGGCCTACCTTAACCTCATAATAATGGACGCCATACGTTGGCAGTGATTCCACCAACGTCAAATACCTGGAACAAAAAACATTTATTCAAACTTCCAGCTGCTTTTGAACATCTCAAATGTGGGAATCTGATCTCTGTTTAGTGAATCAGTGTGATCTCGCTGCAACTGAAGGGGAGCTATTGATTTCTATCAGATGATGAGAAAAGGCGTGCCAGAGAGGGAAAGGGATGGGGAGAGGGCTAATGGAGGTGAGAGTAAGATTAATGAATTTAAAGCCTAAAAAGATTCACTGTCTTCCTCTTACTCGTGTAGCAACACAATTTAATTACTTACTGCACAATGGCCTGTCCGCGAGAAACACCTTTCAGCTGCTTATAATATTCAATAACTCGATCCTCACTGTAATGTTGCATAAATGAGAAGGCAATATAGTTAGCCGGGGAAAGATAAATTGAGGTGTAAACAAATTGTTTTAATTTAATTGATCAACTGATTGTTAAAAGACGAGTATATATGGTATTCTACAAGTTTCTTTACACATTCAATTTAATTAAAGGAGAGTTATTATGTTTATTATCATGTTCTGTATTGGATGCTTATATTTAACAGTGTTGGCATGTATACTATATGCTATATATTAGCATACATAAACACAGTTTCAGACTTTTGGCTGTGGCTCTATATGACATAAGTTACAGCAGATATCCGTAATATGGTCATTTCAGGCACACAGCTCTGGCTGAGAACACTGGAGCCCCGCCCAACTCCTGTTCTTCTGTTTGTGAGGGGTAGCCAATCAGAAGAAAGCTTGCTTAAAGGAAAGAAGACCTTAAACAGAGATGAGCTAAAATTGATTTTTTTTTTTCAGACATAAGGATGAACCAGTAGTGTCCAAATAGGCCCAGTATAATGTATACAAGGATCGTGCAAAGGTAGAGTCCAAAATGAAAATATGAAGCTGGGAATTAGCATAAGTCTCCTTTTATTACCTGTAAACTTAAGATTTTACTAATGTCTTACAGTATTTTCTCTGTTTACGGGCTTTATGCACTTTGTTGCTGAATGTAAAAACATGATTTCCTGTGAACTTACCAGTATGCAAGAGATGGGTGTTCCTTGAGTACTTTGGTGGGAAGAGTAGGTAGTTTCTTCAAATCAGCTCGAGTGTTTTCATCACTAAAACGGAAAAGAAGAAAATGTAACCGTTTTGGAAGTTGATTTAAAAATCTTGACATAAGTAGTAGTGAATCTTCCTAACACCTCTCACTGTATCTCTTTTATTCTAGTACAGGATCTGAACGCGGTGGTGTTTTTGATTTTTGTTTTTGGTGATATTTATATATATAATCTCTTTTAATCTACAAAGCAAATTTTCAAAATAGCTCTAAATATATTGGGATCTACCTAGAAAATACTATATTCCCAGTACCCATGTCAAGATTTTAAAGTGAGTATGAAATTTGCCCTAAAAGTTAAATCCACCCTAAATCCCAGAGGAAATAGTGAACATATAACCACTGTGTCCTCAGAAACAGCTGTGGCCTTAGCAGCAACTATAATACAGAACATACTGACATGAAGAACTATTTCTACACCATCATACTTCATCAGCTGACCGAAACCAGTGCCAACATGCACAATAACATGCAGTATTACCTCTGAAAGCACCAAGTATAATAGCAAAAGCCACCACAGTTAAACACAGCTATCCGTTACTGTGTACATTGTAAAGGTGTATCTACTCTGCAATACTTAGCTTCTATCAGCACTCTGAGATTCATTAGTTGCCTGGTGCTAGCTGCTCAGCACTATGTGGTGAGCCTCACATAACACTGCTATTGATTTTTGTTGTCTGCACTGGAGAAACAAGTGACCTATTGAATGTCTTCGCTAAGAGCTTACTATTAACTCCTCCTGCTGCTGTTAAATACTTCTTAACCAGCTGATGATGATGCTCTTACCTTGTATAGTCTCCTTTAGCCTCCTGGTGATGAACAGAACATATATCTTATTAGATGGCATGCTTTTAGATGTGGCAATTAATGCATGTTTACGAGGCTATTAAAAGCACTAACCTGCAAGGCATTTGCAGCTAATTTGAAGACGTTATCACTTTCCACTTCAATAATCCCCTGAGAGACATAATAGACAAACAAAATAAAAAATAAATATGATTCAGAAGTGGAAGCCTGTGGAGAGAAAGCTTTCCAGATCCAAACATAGAATCTGCTCTGCGTTGCCCTACTGTAACCTCTGCTTATTCTCCAAATCAACCCCTGTATTATCCTACTCTCTTACGCTGTGTGTTTTACATTCCAGCTAGCAGAGTAAGAAAAGTGTGCCCTGCAGCTATTGTCTGCTGAGCTGAGGGTCCAGAGACAATGAATCATCACAAGCTGTGATGAAAATAGCAGGATCATTTTGCATTGTTTCAAAATCGAGTAAAAATAAGAGAAAGCACTTACACTGTAGACAGCAGATTTGGCATTCAGGTAGAACAGCTCCACTGTTATGATATCTTTAAGTTGTGTTATGTTTTCCACATAAAACCTATGAAGGGTGAAATCAAATGCATACACAAAAACCCCCATAAAAGACAGTCAAAGACTTTCCAAACACTGATTTATACCATCAGCTTTATCACAAATGAGTTCTATAAAAATCTCTGGATAGTTTCTTGACTAAACTATAAAACGCAACGTTAACAAAGTACTGCACCCTGCTGGGGAACCTGGGTTCTGCATGAAACAAGAATTTCTTACCTGACCAAGAAATTCAGGGCAATGGGCCCGGGCTTCTTTGAAAAGTCGTGATCAAGGACTCTGCGGTCCATCTGCAACCACTTACACTGGCCACTGCAAAAGTAAACAAACTGTAACATCAGAAAGCTGCCCTTTGTAATCATCTGCCAACATACACTTGCACACATGTAAAAATATCCATATCACTGAAAAAAAAAAGAAACACTGCAATTTACATACTTGTCATCAAAAAAGGCCAGACCAAAAAATTCCTTCTCTTTGAGGTTGAAGTGGGAGGAAACCAAGTCAAGGAGTTCATAAGACAGAAGCTTCGGCTGAGAAGGAAGTCGTAGATATAAACAACTACTTTAATCAAAATTATACACAATTTTTAAAAGTCAGTGTGTCAAAGATACACTTGATTCATTGAAAAGTCTGTTGGAAATGGGTACACAGAGAAAAGAATAGTGCTGATGAGACACTATACTATTTGATGGTAAATAGACAGCGTTTATGACACCTTCTTGGTGTTACTGACCACTCATAGTGGTTTACACACAATTTCACAAGGACACTGACATCCAGACCTGAGTATCAAACCACAATCCTGAGGAACCCTGCATTTGCTATGCCCTGGCTGTTTTCACAGTACAGATACCTAGCTTATTTAGCTAAAGAGGCAGTCCAACTGCTCAGGGAACATGCAATAAATTGGAGTTTGTCCACTTGGGGGCAGCGGAAAATAAGTTGTGAACACACCTTTGATATGTCATTACTTTTTAAGGAAAACTTAAGTTGACAGTTGTGACTCTTTTGGGCCACCTGTACTATATAAGTCCACTTGTCATTACCTTAAACACTATTTCAAATTTTAGCTTCACAAGCGTAGGAGAAAAATATTCAGCTTTTCAGCTGCTAAATGCTTCATTATGTTCAGCTTCTACTCACTACGTTAAGATGATGAAGCACTCCAGTGAGCTAATAGGAACTGCAGTAAGCATAGGTGATTACCCAAAGTCCTTTTAACATTATGCATAAATATCACAGAATTCTTGGATCCATTTTAATTATTGATTTTAGTTTTTTGTACCTGAACCAGCAGCTCTAGCTTCCTGTCATCCAATAAGTGCACTTGGCACAGTTTGCCCTCAGTCATCTGTAGGGGGAGATAAAAGGAAGTTCAAGGTCTGTGAAAGCTTTCATAAACACAAGAGACAGTTATATCAAGATATTCATGTGTTAGTAGAATTTTTGTTTTTTTGTTTTTTACCATGATGGCATCTGGCATTTAACAGTTAACGTATTTACAAAAGACAAAGTGAGCAAAAGCCAAGGTAGTAAGCACAATGATCCGTCTCAAGGAAAAAAAAGAAAAACATGACACTGACGTTGTTTGATACAATAAAACCATTGTGTCAAGGATTTGTTGCCATAGTAACCAAATGAGGGATTTGAAGTCCCTACATTTTGAACCTTTCACATTTAGCTTTTAGTCGCACAGCTTTTCCAACAAAATCATTTTATGAGTATTTTTATTTCTTGTTGCTTTGTGCCGCTTACCAAGATCAACTTCTGTTTTATAATTACTGCAAATTTACAAAATCTCACACATTACTTCTTTACGTCAAGCTTATACAACACTAATATAACTCTTAAATACAACATATATTACAATAAAAGTCCTACAGGGCATTTTCTCTGAATGATGATTTGATACATTCTTGGATAATTATAAAGATTTCAAATGAAATCTAATTACATTTTTTACCATCTTGACAGCAAATAGAAATTACATATTCTTCCACTATAATTAATTTTCTACCTTTTTGCCAAAAGAGTGAAATCAAGTCCCAAACAGCAAAAATGTGTTCACAGCAAATCATAGCAAAACTAATTCAACTTCATATCATATTTTGACTTAATAGCATTTTTGCGCTTCAAAAACCCACCCTTATTGTAAAGATAAAGTTAGACTGACCTGGACCAGGAAACACTGAAAGCACTGTGCATTTGATAAATTAAAAACAACACAAAAATGACAGATTGAGGTTAACCAGTTTTTCAACAAAACATCCTCAGAAACTGAAAAAGGTACACTAGATAGATCCAGCGGCCTCCTTGTTTGACAGAATGAGGCTGATCGCAACTTCTAACATTTGTAGCAAAACACGCAGCTGCTGTACCTGGTAAACCTCTCCAGGGAGAGTGCAGGTGTGGATGCATCCCTGACTAGATATCATCTTTAATACGTTTCTTCTCGTGGATCCAGACCATGAAATTGTTGGCTCTGACTGAGCATCAGCAGCAGATCATCAGGTGTAAACAGCAACTTGTTCCTTAGGTTATTTGAGTGAGGAGCCAGGCCTCTACTGTGGGCTTATAGAGTGTGAAATCAACAGCTGACCTAAGGGGGGGAAGGCTGAGTCAGATGGCTGACCACAGTTTAGTACGCTCTGGTTCTTAATACGAACAAAATGGGTCACACAAGAACTATAAGCGGTTAACCACGTCTATATCGTCTGTTAAGTCAGACTAATTCACTTTTATATTATTGTTATTTCAGCACTGTGTCTGTTACCCGAAGGGGTCTGAATCTAGATATCAGGTTTCTCCTGCATCCTTCTCCACTACATTGTAACTGAGAGACGTTATCTGCCAATAGAAGCAGGAGAAATTCCCCCAAAGTGCCAGTTTCTACTTTACATTCTTTCTCATTCCTTTGGATGCTTTTTTCTCACAAGACCCAAAAAAGTGCCTTGATTTCTGAATGACAAGCATACACCAAGTCACTTCATTAAATTAGTCTTTTAAAGACTGCTTTGCCAATTCCAGCCCCTGAATAATGTGACTTTCATAAATTGTCTTTCATGGCTTGAAGTAAAAGTACACATTCGATAAATCCAATTAATTTGGAGTGTGCGGCTTGTGACAGCCACGAGGGGATTATTGCATTGATCGAAGCTTTATTAGGTTGTGGCTATATCATACTGGGGGGGTCACGCACTTTGTAATAAGCATGACATTACTGTATGCTGACATGTACAGTAAAGGGACTGACCACTAGAGGGTGCAAGAAATATCATGGCTTAACGTGAAGAAGTTTATAAGTAGAAAACAGCTTCTTAAACAGCCATGCTTCACAGAGGAATTTTTATGAGCAGTTATTAGATGAGCAGCTGAGAGTCAAATTCATTTGGGATGGCATACACTTATTATGGAATATAAATGAAGTGACTGGGTGGAGGATTGATTATTTTTAGGAATCTACACCATTAATCATCTGAAAGCTGTAATCAGTACAAGAACTGTTATTTAAATCCAACCCAGCAATCCCAGATAACCCTTCAGTTTTTCAGAGAATTAAACACAACTGAGATACAGCGAGGATTGTGATTTCAAACCAATGGTTATGAAATAACTATATTCGCAAACCTTTATCTGACATTTCATGCTGTAATGTATACATTATTATGAACCAGCAGACAGCTCTATGAGGTCAACCAAACGTAACCCATTCAGCGAATAAAATCAAATAAAAGGGCAACCTTGAACCCCGTGGTGCTAAGACAAGCACTGAATCGTTGTGTAAAAATAGGCATGGCAGACAGACATCAAAGAACTGTCAGTCTTTTTGTTTGTCTCTCTAGAGACTGGACAGGCACTGGCTGAGCATGGTGCCGCAGGCTGCAGGTTTTGCTTTAGTCTGGGAGCCTGAGGTTGGTATAAAGGCAGCTTTTCAGATGTATGCGTGCTACAATGAAATGTCCCAGCAGAGACTTGGAGATGGTGCAGATGTGGCCTCCGTCTTATATGCTGCTACAACTGTTAACAAAGACTACCCATGTATGTTGCGGCAAGACATTCAGATGATGAGATGTAGCTCCTTCTGGTTATGAGAAACTGAAAATAAATGCTGTTAATTTTTGTCTTATATACTCGACAGTGAAAATGTCAAGCTTGCAAGTTGTACAATAGCCAACAGGAGAATTTCTCTGTCTCCTGAGTAAACTGGCCGTCAGTATTTAATACATCACACTGGTTAAATGTCATGTCCAGACTCCAGCACATCTTATCTTAGTTTCCTGTCTTCATGCATTATTAATGAAGGTTGGCATCACACACAAGTGTCTGTGTTTACATGAAGCCACCTGGTACGATTGTAAATTGACAGAAATTATTATACTATGTGCATTTTTTCCAAACTATTTTACTTCATATGTGTTGCATATAAACATAGGGAAAAAATTATGAACTCCAAAATACAATTACAGGTACAGGTACAGACACATGAAGCCTAAAGGAACAAAAATGAAATCTGCCTGTGAATTCAAGTGGCTACAAACAGGATGTGACATCCAATACAATGTAGCAGCAAAGGGAAACTCACTAACTTCAGTGTTTTGAATTCAAGAGATCTTACAGTTCCTCTGTAATGCTATGACGATGTACGATCATCAGATCATTTTCTGCAGCTGAGGACTGTACTGACTTTACAGATAATCTCCATTTACGGGACTTGGGGAATGCTATGGCATATATAGGGGGGAAAGTCACGCCTAGAGAGCTGTGTGTGAAGTCGGATAAATGTCTTCCACTGATGTGACTTGAATCAGCATCGTCTGGGACTGAAGATTACAAGTCTGAAAGGGAAGAGAATCTGGGGGCAGGGGAGGTGGGGGGAGTTAAATAGAAGTGACCAGACATCTGTAGCCCACCTCTTGTATTTACTCTGGGCTCCTTTAGCCCACTGCCAGCATGTCATACTTGGATCTTTAACAGAACCAGCAGTTGGGTTATGTAGGTGTCAGTGGGAAAGAATGCAAAGTTATCTGTTGCTATATGATTGTGTTATATATAATACTAAATCTGTGAAGTACTCTTGTTGATGACCCTTGATGACTTCAGAGACTGTCTGAAATAGAAATGGATAAATTAAATGATTAAAAATACATCACTGGAATCATTTGTTTTAGTATTCTCTGAACTCTCCTAAAGAAACAAACTTGACAGGATTTTTAATGAGTATTTATATCAGTCAAAAAAGAAGAGGTCCAAACACAGAGCAGTGAACCCTGGTTATAGAGGCAGTGGGCCGAAGCATACAGCAAAGGATTATCTCCTCATCTGATATCTCACCATGACTCATGCTGTCAGTGGTCAAATGGTATCTGTGTACGTCTTCTCACAAAGAGAACCTGTCTGGCTGTTTGTGGTATCTGGGAAACTCAAGAACACAATGGGGCTTATGATATTATGGATCTATTAAAACCTGGGATAAATATCTATTTTTTTTTATGACACAGCATGTCTTTGATACAACAAGGACGGGCTGTATCACAGGGGACAGATTCATGTGAATGATGTCATCATGCAGCATGAATTTCTATTTCCAACCCATAAAGGACATCTACAGAAGGAGACTGTGATATATATATTTTTTGGCATTCTTACAAGTAGCAGCATTCTTTGCAGCAGGGTAAAGCTGCCAGCAGAAAAACTAACTAGCATACTAAACATCCAGGATAATCTTAGTTTCGGGTCCTGTCCTTTCATAAGCTCTTCAGAGCTCAGAGTACTTGAAATTTTGTTCCATCTCCTATTGCAAGAACTGATTTTGACTAATTATGACTGTGTCTATTAAAAAGAAGAAAAGCTATACAATTTCAAAACGAGACAGCATTTGCATTTCATTTGATGGTGCATGAGTAAAATATAACTGAAACCTAGCTCGATGTGCTTGAAATCATAACCGAAACCCCACAACAATCCTTGAACATATTAATACGTCTGCATTAAACATATTTTTGTTGTATTTTAACAAAGCTATAAGTGTACAAGTCGTTTTCTGAAAGCTCTTTGCAGCTGAACTAAAAGAGTCACCTAAATAAACACATCCCATAAGCCGATGCCTAGTAGGTACCATACTCAGATTTACTAACCAATACAAAACAAGCAGATAAAAAAGGCGTATATATGAATACATATGTAATACTATTTTGCATGTATTTGCTCATAAAAGAAAAAAACAGCTGGAGCAAAGTGAACAACTCATATTAATAGGTGTATGAATGCCTGCACCAGTCTATCTAATAAACACTAGGACAGAAACATACTGCCATCTGTATCACTGCTTAGGCTTATGAATCTACATTATCTCATTTGTCTTTCTGGTCTAATATCAGTGTTATACTGCAGTATAAGCAAAATTATTTTTCTATACATGGTACATACATGAGAAATGGTACATATTGGTGTCTAATATTTCACCAGAATGCAGGAAATTAGTGCAGTAAAGCACTACAGGGTCACATAGACATAGACAAGAGACATCAAAAGAGCTTCATTAGAAATAAAAGAGCGTGGATATTTCTGGCTTAAAATCTGAGCTCGTTACTTTATGTAGGTGTCAGAGAAAAGATCAGAAGGCCAGCAAAATAATTAGAAACCCTACATTTAAATGCAATCTGTCAAGTGTCTGTTGGAATATCTTGCTATGTAAATGTCAAATGAAGATAACGAAGCAATATTACCTTTTGAGATAGTGTTTTTAGTTTGTGCCCTTTATCTTGTAAATTCATTTGTTTGTCACAAGGTTTGAAAAGCTCTACACTTTTCCTAATCATAGTTTGCATACTCAGGTTACAGATATCATAAAACTATCTGAATGCAGAAATTCAGTTCTGCGTTTAAGATAGATCATAACAGAGTGTCCGAAAAAGCAAAGACTAGCTTGTGAGCGGTGAACATTGGTGAGGTTTCCTATATTTGCCCTCGTTTGAGGCTGTCCCCACTGACAACACTGGTATCTCAAACTGCAGAGCTTTTCTTTTGCAAACTACTGCAGTGACTTTCTGCAGAGCACGGGAATGTGGCACAGAGGCACAGACATGCATGGGTGGAGAAAATGGAACATGACCAACTTTCAATGATCTGGATAAAAAAAAGTAACCCTTTGAACATCACCATATAACAGCAACGTGGGCTGAGATGCAATCGGACTGTGTTTTGTTACCTTTATCTCAAATTAATGGCACAGTATGCCAAGGATGAGAAGATTTTTTTTGTTTATAAATCTATTAATCCATCTGTACTTATTCATAGGACAAACTAAGTCCCAAAACCTCACCTGCTGACCTGTATCATTTTGCTGCTCTATACTTTACCATATTATATCTATCAAATTCGGTCCATCTGTATTAAGCATATCAATATAAGATTAAGGCCCATCCAAAAATAGGTCTCTCCCACTTTGTCTTTAGCACATTTCTCAGGATGTCTCAGGAGGCTATGATTCTTAAATGGAAAGCTGCCAACTGAGGGCTGAGACATTTTTAGTAGCATTAAATGCAGAAAAGAGCATCTCATCCACATTGGGCTCTCATACTAAGTAACAAGTTAGAAGGATGTGAGAAAACAGGTCGGTTTGTACCAGGCATCTTATGACACTTTTACCTTTCAAATCGTTGTTCAAAATGCACAAACCCCACCAACTTTGGTGATAAACGACACAGGATTTCCTCTTCAGCAAATAGGAAAAGCAACAAAGCTTCATGCTGGACATGTGTGTCATACAGACACAACCATTACAACAACAATTCCTGTTTACACTGTTTGAAGCTTTAAATACGCCCACACACGCATCTCTTCCTTCACCTCTGACATAGCATCTGCAGGTCAATGTCAAGTTTAGCTGTACTTATCTTCCAGCCAGAGTGTTCGAGTCAAAAGGCGAAAAAAGTTCGAAGGTAACATGGAGGCGTCAAGGAAGATATCTCGGCTTATACTTGAAATGAAACTGTAGCAAACCGTCTATTGTCCTTGTTAATCCACGCTAAATTTCCCCCTTGTAGCACTTGTGCAGGAGAATAGATAATTATACATGAGAAAATCAAATAATGATAATTGCTTTGGTCAAGCATGATTTGCTGCTGTTCTGGGTAAAATGATGATTCATCCAGGATTTTTTTATTCACCAAGTCACACTCCCTAAATCAGTGTGCTATAGGTTTCTGCATGATGCATTCATTCAGTCCAGTGGCCAATAAATTACTTTTTTTAAACTTAAACATGCATCTAACGATCTCATTTCATATCGTCTTATCCTCTACAATCAGCAGCCTATATGGCCCACGGTACCCAATAATGAGACAAGCCCACCGGGGCCAGTTTCCTCTATGCAGGGAGAACAATGAATGTGCTACTGTTGGCTACTGTACATGGGTGGCTTCCACCTGAGCCCCATGATTAGCTTAATGTGTCAAAAAAGGGAAAAAACTACACCCTATTTTACTGAGGAAACACACCAGTCGCGGCTGAGAGCCAAACCCATGCTGTTGTAATTTTCATTGATGCTCCCTTCTCACATCACATGCAGGCATGACTCAGTCTACTTTTGTCTCCTCACAGCTCATTGACGCTGGTTCAATCTGCCCCACCGCACCACATATCGCCTTACCTTTGCACTCCTTATATCCTGCTTTTGGTATTGATAACGTGAGGCTTCCCCTGCATATTGATCAGCTTCGTTCAGCTTTCTCCACGGCCGCTTTTACCAGGGAGGAGAGCCGCCGTGCAGCCGCTGTCCATGTTCATCCTCCGGTACTAGGATACTGTAGCACACACACACGCCTCGTATCGAGCCACAGTTACCACGCCTTCACCCGCCGGCTATTATGTGAACAAGCCCAGCATCTCCACCCTCCCTCCCTTGCTCTGCCCCCCTCCTCCCCTCTCATCCAGCAGATGCCGGCCGGCCTGGTTCACACTGGATCCCCATAACAATGAAGAGAGACTGGCTTTCTGTTGCATCTTCAAGAACCTTTTAAATTTATGTTTGATTTCATATCATGAAAACCCCAACAAACACACAGTGTTCTACACACATATGTGTTTATATTGTCGTGGTAGCCCTTAAATAAAATGATCTTCGAACATCTTCGAATTTTTATCTTCAAAATTTCTACATTTTTCACAAGCGGAAGTATATTGTTCACTCAGTGGTAAGTTCAGATAGGTCCTATTTTATCAAATTGTCGAATTCTCATTAGTTATTGTCAACACCTTCTTGAAATCGGTCAAAAAAATACACAGTGCGACTAGCAAGTCTTTACTGATACAACTACATCAATAATATGATCAATAAAATGAACAAAATCAAAACCAATACCAAAAGAAATTGTAACAAACCATTCACCAGTAACTGTTTTAAGATTGATTTATTCTTTTTAAATAGATTTACTATAAATATGTTTTACTGAATATATGACTGGCTATATATGTTTCCCTTTACTTGCCATATTCAGGGTCACTTCTTGATAAAGATCAGTTTGATATTTGATATTTATTTGATATATAAGTGCTTTGACATCAAACATACTTACAACTGTTCCATACACCACAAGTTGATCTTGGTCTTAAAAATATTCACAGAAGCACATTTTGTGTAATTTAAGTTTGCAACGCTTCACACATCTTGGACCTGTGTAACATAGAAGACACAGGACTGGTGTGTGTTTCACATGTGCTATTCATTTCTGTTCCGGAGTGACGATGCCCCTAAAATATTCATTACTGCCTTTACTCTGGCTCATCTGGTAATTCTTCAAAGGAAACAGGCACCAAAGTCACATATAGCATTCAGTTTTCTCAAAGGGGAAGTTAGATAGAAACTCTTTGACATAAACTAACAAATTCTTGTTTGGTTTGGGTTTGTTTTTGTTTTATTTTGTTCTGTTTTTTTCATTGACCCTAGACCCCTAACAAAAAACAAAAACACTAGTGTCACTGCAGTCTGCTGTAAATGCCGTTGCCTGCCAGCACGGCGAGGTATCCCCACCCCCATGCTCTTGGATTTCTGACATCAGACATGAATAAGTATCTCATTAAGATCCCCCAAAACCATCTGCCCAATGAGTCTCCTCCTTACAGGAAAAATGCTCTCATAAACAAAAGAGTAGGATTCCCTCATTACCCTCGTTACCCTCATTAGAAATTATTCTATCATCTGGCAAGCTGTGGTTTTAATTTATTCCAGGAGTCGGGATTCTTATTAAGAAACCTTCTGTATTTTTGTTGGTAGCAACAAGCATGTCTCCTCCTTTTATAATCGGATTTTGCAATTCAGTCAATAAACCCCAAAAATACTTATTAAAACTGCTCACAGAAAGTATTCTCCAAGTTATCAATCTTCATCATTTTCATTGAACAATGAAAACACAATATTTACTTAAGGGGTGTGCATCAAATTTTATGCACATCTAACTGTGTTTAACTGCCATTCAGTTTTTCATAAAGTCCTGGAGAAATGCAGCATCACTGATAAACTATGACTTTCTTGAAGCTCATTAAACCAAAACAGCTATTTTTGTACTCTCAAATGCTGTTTTGATGCATGTGCTGGATAGTGTTTTGTTTTGCTGATGTTTGAGACTGCTGACAATCACATTATGTGTAACAGGCTGAAATACTGGATGGTTGCATGGGGGTGTCCTGATGCATGCTCAATCATGCAGGAAAGGAAATTCCACAAAGTTGATTCTGTTCATCTGGACGTTACATTTTCAGTGGGAGAAATGTTTCGACACTTGGACGCGGACTGAAAATATTCTTTCTGAGAGTGTATAGAGGTCTGCTTTGCTGAGACTGTCTTCAAATCTGTCAAGTTAATCTTTCTCTGTAGCTGCTTCCAAGCTATAAGGTTCTGTTTTGGGGTCTTTACTGTTTCTGTTATAGCTGTGCTTTCTTCAGCATATGACTACCACTGTTAAGGACATTGTTTATCTATGCTATGCAGATGACATTCGGTTATATATCTCTGTTATGCGCAAAGAGTTTTTTAAGTTACAGACCTTGCATGGGTGCTTAGACTACTAAGCAACTTGAGAAGTTGAATGGCTGACAGCTTTCCCTGAAAAATGAAGCCCTTGTTTGTGCCCCTGACCGATTTGTGCTTAAGGTAGTGAAAGCTCTCCTCGCCCCTTTTGGTAAATCTTCTATCAGGAATCTTGGGGTAACTTTTTAACTGTGGATGCTCATGTTAAGTCTCTGGTTTGCTATTGCCTTTATCACTTAAGAAGTATTGCCAAGTTGAGTTTCACCGTGTCACCCCCTTATTTGGAAAATGTTACTTATGCCTTTATTTCGTCACACCCGGATTATTGTAATTCACTGCTCACTTGTCTTAACAAAGTTTCCTCTGAATGTTTGCAGGTTATTCAGAATGCCGCTGCGAGGCATCTGACTAAGTCTTCTAAGTACTCACATGCCACACCATTGATAATTCAGTTTCACTGGCTTCCTGTCTGCTCTAGGATTCTGCTTGTGACTTTTAGAGAGCTGCATGGACAAGCACTGGCATACGTCAGTGAATCTTTACAGCCATAGATTCCCACCAGGTCCTTCAGGTCATGTGATCAGGGCTTGGTAGCTGGGCTTCATATAAGACCAAGAACTAAAGGAGATAGAGCTGTTGCAGCAGTCCCCCACAGACTCTGGAACTCTCTCCCACTGAACTGTGGACTCTTTTAAAAAGCAGCTAAAATGTTTCTTTTGTTTTTATGTTCAGTCATTTATGTTGTGAAGCACTTTGTTATATTTATATTGAAAGGTGACATATACACAAGCTTTTACTTACTTTTTTTTTTAAAACTGTCATTCTGAAACACAAATAAACATTCTTATAATAAATAATAATACTTAGTTTATCAAGTGATCCGACATTCATTATGGTAATAAATTTGCTAAAATGAGTCCTGGTCTCTTGGATTGGTGTGTTTTTCAACAGACAAGCCGATCAGCAGCTGATAGTCATCCTTACTAGAGCAACCGGACACCTTTGGCTCATATTCCGGGATGTTGTTTGGCAAACGGTTGCAAGTCACTGATGACTGGCTGACAGACTTCAAGTTAAAAGCCGTGACTGAAAACAAAGGTAAACCAGAGTGTTTTTTCATACCTGAGACGTTATCGATGACCACCACTGCAGTTCATGTTATTTTATATGGCAGAAATGTTTGCACTGGCTGCCAATGCCTTTCAAATCTGCACATCCTTGAGTAAATAATAGTGTGTTAGTCTTTGAATAGTTATCCCTGTGTTCACTTATCTCAGGGCACATAGCCAGGATGATGCAAGATATGTGGGTTGTTTTAAAGAAGTTTGCCGTTGTTTGTTTAGCTAATTAACTGATACCAAAGTATTCTTATTTTCTCCCAGTACCAGGGTTTGAAGATGTTATTGGCATTACAAAACAATGTGTATATTCAGATATTCAAATATTAAACAAATATTATTAACAAATCAGTCCTGAACTCAAATTTAAGTGAAGTAGAAATTTTTTAGCTGAAGATTAAGAGTTCAGCTAAACGTATAAATTGTGAAGGTTTTCAATTTATAATAATTTTATTTCAACAATTGACCAGATATTTGTCCATGCAAACTCGGTTTTTGCTATAGGTAGAAAATGGGAAGCCATAAAACACTATATTTTTCTGCAAAATGAAAAAAAAAAAATTAAACGTGCAACTGCCACAAAAGTTTATGAGGTGTGTAAGTATTTATTTACAAACCATTTCTGCCAAAAAGAGATAGAGCACTGACACTTGGATAACTTGGAAAACATGAACACAAACATTGGTTTTCTACCTAAGGGCACTGAATCAAGTTTATTTACTAATGTGCTGACACTGACAATCCTTGCAGGGTGCGTGTTGTCTTTCACCCATCATACTGTGGTCCCCTTGTGTAATACAATGGCTGGAAGGGTGGATGGATGGTGAGCAGGCTTTTGCACTGCCATTAAAACTAAGAATTTTGGACTCTTCTCACAGTGATTTTTCTTCTTCTCATATTCAGGTCCTTAAATTTATATGTTCTTGCTTCACTGGGCTTATTGAAGAATATTCATTTATGTGTTATAATTTGCAAAATCAGCATATTCTTATAGGTATTTAAGAAATGATGATTCAAAGATAGAAAGATCACTGTGCTTGGAATCATTTTCAAAATAAATTGACTTCATAATATTTTTTGAGAGAACATTATATTTTGGACTGTGGAACAAAATTTGTACTTGTTAGTCTTTATTGTGTCATTAAGTACTATTATTTAAAATATATCTTAAAAAGATATATCTGGAAGTAATTACAAAAGCTGTAGTAGTCTATAAATGTTACAGGTCTAATGCAGTTGGAGGGCCTGGGTAATCAGTACCACATCCAAAGTAATTTATCTGTATATTGTAGATCGGATTCTCTACAGCTCCTGTGTCATGTCATTTGGCTGGCTGTATGTGAGTGTTTTTTTTTCTGCTATGTGTCTCAGAAATAGTATTGCAGAAATACAGAAGAAGAAAAAAACATTCTGATCCCATTTCTCATTCTGTTCAGCTATCATCGTTTTATTTAAGGCTTTATTTTTAGCCTCCGGGTATGTGCTTTCCAGCAGAATCATATTTGCATTCTATTTGCATTGATAAAATACAGACTTTAAACCAGTTCAACAGGATGAGGGTGAATGCAAATATTGAACTACCTCTAAATTTCCATTTTATAATAGAGGGTGCCCCCCCCACACCCCCGCGGGCTCACGAAACTGTTTTCTAGCTCTATACTGCCCCCAAGTGGCAGACAAGACTTCAACTGAGGAGACCAAACTTGGTGTGCTGAGAACAGCGCGTGGGTGAGAGTGGAAGACGAGCGGTCAGTCAGTCTGCACAGGGAAACGGGGAAAAACAGAGACATGAGGCTCGTCTTGAGGTTGGTCTAAAGTCGGGTGCAATATCTGCATGACCCAATAAGAGACTTAAAACACTAAATATCAAGGCTGTGAATGACCTGCAATGTAAGAAGTGCCGTTATTTATGTTTTTTATTTAGATTTTCTGAACAGTTTCTGTGCGATTGCTTCCAGATTTACTCATTTAACTGACTGCTACATCCAGTGTTTTTTGTTTTTTGGGTTGTTGTTTTTTTATTTTTAGAAACTCACATCGCCAGTCTGATTCTTACTTACTTCAAGGTCACTCTGGGTATATGTGCTTTAAAGGCTTAAAAACAACTCACTATATATTTTATTTTTATTTGCAAACAATGTAGTTATGCTTTCGCAAACTTGCTTGAACAGCATGCCCAGGTCACAAAGGCTGGATTTTTATTTTTCATTTATTTATTTTTTTATTTTTTTGCGGGCGGTGGGCATGGTATAAAATAATTCATTTTTATCGTGATAGCAAATTAACGCCCTCCATTATTTTTAACCAATATTAAATGTATCTGCATTCAGGCAAAATGTGCAGACCATTTCTTTAAATGCAAAAGCTAAGACCGCAAAGACGCACGGCCACTGGAGCAGACGCTACTAATTCAAAATAAGTCTTTACAGCCAATTATTACGAAATCCACATTGCGGGATAAATATTGCTTATGGAAATGAAACTGACATTTCAGTTCCACCGGTCGAGCAAAAAAAAAAAAAGGGGGGGGGGGGTAAAAATCCCGTCGGATACTGCAGCCAATCAGAATTGTGCTGACGTTTACATCCCCGGAGCATCTTGGTAGTTGTAGTTTCTGGATCATTTTCAGCCCGTTAGCTGCAGTTTAGCCGCTACCGCGAAGGACTACAGAGCTCCGGATCCTGGGCAGAAGCGGCTTGCGTTGACGGTTGGTACTGTGCGGACTACTGGGGCACGAATATCACCCGTCTGCTTTTTTTTAAAGAGGGTTTAGCGTCTCCAAAAGTTGACATCTGCAAGTATGCAGTCGGAATCGGGAATAGTTCCCGACTTCGAGGTCGGAGAGGATTTTCAAGAGGAGCCTAAAACGTATTACGAATTGAAGAGTCAGCCCTTGAAAAACAGGTCAGTTCTTTTGCCGTGGACAGTTATTTCTCACGCTGGAGCGTTTTGGGGGTTAAGGTGATAATTAGGCTGCAGACTTTTTAAAGTGTTGTCCAAAGTCTATGAATGTGCGGGGCTTCCTCATTGATGTTACTGAAGCTGGTCCCGGGTTTCAGCCCTCGTTCCTTATGGTCATCCTGCTTGCATGAAGTTATGCAACACATGGGTGTTGTCTTGTCAACATCAACTTCAAATATTAGCTCACAGAGGAGCAGACAGGTCAGAGTTTAGCAAGGTGATGCTCAGCCTGTCTTGTGTTGATGGCTGATATTCAGGTGCTCCTAAAGCAGAATGGTGACTTATTGTTATTTATGAGATTTTTCTTTAAATCTCCCGAGAACGACCTATTTTTTAAGTATAACTGCATAACAACATGTGTGTAAAAAGTGCTATAAGTCTACTATGGCACTACACCTTGTGCATTAACAGCTTTGAAGTGTCAAAAGTGTGTAAGAAAGTATTAACTGTTAGATGAGCTGTGGTAACATAAATAAATAAATAAATCAAACCTGATGTTTCTTTCAGTGGAGGAGTGTTGCCTTCTTTATAAGTTCACAGTTAATATTAAATGCTCTAAAGTTGTTTCACCAATAAAATAAATCAGCAACCAAAGAGGCAGACAAAATTTAGTTTTCAGCAAGTTGTTGGCCTATTAAAAAGTTGTATAACTTAAGTGCATGTAGTACTGGACAAAGTGCTCCAAGTCCTGACAACAGTTTATTCTTGTAAGGACACAGAACAGAAACAAAAAACAGCTTGCAGCACTGACGTTTACTAATTTAGTTTCAGCTTTGACACACTGAAGCCTCAGAAACATTTAGCTGAGTCAGATCTATGTGTTGTTTCACCTTTCACCCTTTTTCTGGAAGTAATGCACAGCAAGTTTGATGTCTTATACATGTGTCTTATACACGTGTTTAATGCAATGAAATGACAGATTTCCTGTCTACTGTGTAGCATATCAAAACAATACTGAGAAACTTTAGAAAATGCCCTTTTTGCTGTCTTACAATTTTCACTCTTACTAAGAGTGAAAACTGATCCCAGAGCTGGGAAATATGAAGCAAAATCTATGAGATGACTGGAAGGTGGACTTATTTTTTTGTTTTAATATTTTAGGGGACCATGTTTTTGTTCTTATTCTAAACACCTCACTGACAGTGAACTGTAGTATTCTCAATACTCATTTGGTGTGATTGATTCAATTTAAATTAAGTAAGAAAACATGTAACAACCACAGATCCCTTGGCAGGTGTTACTATTAAATAAATAATAAACTTTTTTCTATGCAATTTATGATTGCATATCAACCTTTATGGATGATTTCAAATCACAATGAAATACTGTTGGGGTGTAATATAAGTCGTAAGTTATAACATTTCATGCCCCTCTGTGATGAGGATGGTGATGACGATTATGCATCTATTACCAGGATGGTGTCAGAGGTTTTGTATTTTGTGTCTGCTCCTCTCTGTTACGTAGTTTAGAGGTGGTGATACATGGCCTCATTGTCAGGGCGAGACATCCAGAGGACAGTACGCCACTGTGTTCGGACAGAACTCTTGCTGCAGACATTCGCTAGACTCCAGTTATTTTTTTTTTCCTTCCTCTCGTTCTTGATATTTTCTTGCAGATTTGCGGTTTCTCTCGTTTTCTCTAAATTCAATCAAAACACCAGTTAGAAGAACTGTTTGAGGAAGAACTGTCATCTTGGACAGTCTTAGCCTTTAACCTAGTTCTGCATTTTTTAAACTAATGTCTTCAATTTTTTCATTAGTGAAATGTCATTACACTGTTATACACCCTTGGCCTGAATCTGAGGCTGTGTTGTTTTCGTTGCTGGTGTAGCAGCAGCAGCAGCCATTCCAAGTATACGCAAAGTATCAGCACGGTTTCTGAATCATTGCTGTTTGTTTTTCTTTATGTCATTTTTCTCCTGAATGTGTGAAGTCGTCTGAACCGTGGCTTTGATTGAAGGTATCCCACTTCCCCTTTCTATCACATGAAGATGACCCAGCATAATAAATAGTCATGATGACTGTGCCATAAGACAGTTTTGTGCAAAATGGTTATAATTAGTTTGATTGATTACCGAGTTGTCTGATGTCTTCTAATAGCTGCTTAAGAAGTTTCTAAATTTGAAGTTTTGTGTGCGACAAAATGTCATCTTAGCTTTCATAGATCTATTTGTTTTTTGGCTGTCTGCGTATCAGTTTGACAGAGCACACAGACTGCTGCTGACGTCGTGCCAACCTTTTTGTGCCTAATATAGATGTGAGACAGGCGGCAAAACTAGTCTTCTATGCAGTGTAAATAAGCTATATAAATTTAGCAGGGAATGTGTTATATCAGAAACTGTGAGTCTAGGGATCTTTTTTTTTTTTTTTTTGCACCCTCAGTCAATACAGAGGCTGAAAGTTTTGCTTTCTAATGAACAGACTAGATTTTGAGCATAGCCTATATTAAATCCATATGGATGAATAAATATGCAAATGTCTTACACAGAAAGATCCCCGGCCAGTAAAGATTAGCAGACACTAGGCAGAAGAAACCAAACAAACACATGTGTTGCTTTAGTATCAGCCTCACAATGAAATTTTCTTGTTGCTCAATTAACATGTTTCCGTAACAATTTATGCCAGAATGATCACTTTTAACATTTAATGCCATACGTACATCTTTCAGCCACAACATTAAAACCCCTGCTTGTTATAAGCCACAAAAACAGCTGTGGCCCATTGGAGCAAAGACATTGGGGGTATTCTGTGGTATTCTGAACCTTTTTATTGGCAGACCCTTTGGTCATGTGGGTTGTGGGACTGGGTTTTCGCGGATGGAGCTTCGAACTTTTTGTCATTTGGGATCTTGGCGTGGAAGTATGTATCAAAGTTACACCTGCATGAATGCTGGATCCCAAGGTTTTCTGGCAAAACTGCAATTGCTAGCAAGATTGTCAGTGTTAATCATTTCATTAACTGTTGTTAGCGCATCTCTGTCTGTTTAAATGTAAAGACTTCCTCAAAAGCTTCTTCAAATCATACAAAGCTGAAAATAAAGAATTGAATGAATGTGAAAACTTTACAATGGGACTTGGTTTATGTTGCTCAGTAAATATCTGTTTTAATAGCTTGCAATGGGTCTTTGTGGGTCGGGTCTACACTTCGGGTTCTCTGTTTTGGATCTTGGCCTGGGGGGTAAAACATGAATGGAACTCAAAGTCTCCTGAAAAAACTTTCTTCTACACAGCTGAAAATAAAGAAGTATCAGATTTAAGTCAGCAAAAATTGAATCATAAATTCCCCCCCCAAAAAAAAAAAAAAAAAAAGACTGCAGTCAAAACTTTTAACGCTGCAAAACTCTGTTTACTTTTTTACTTTTGTTTTTGGTAAAGAAGAAATTATAATGAACCTTAGGGCACTTTATATAATAATGATAGCTGAGAAAAGAAAATAACCTCAGGCTTACTGTTAATGCACACTCCTTACAGGCATGTTTGGAAAGATGATGGGCCTTGAATGTGGATCGAGTTCTTTGGAAGTGACATTTTACTTTACCTAAAAATGACAAGGATGCAGAGAAATACAGAAGAAATATTGTAGTTTTCACAACTTATTAGTGTCTAACAAGCAAATGAAGATCTTGGTCATTTGTAGTAATATTTTGGTAAGAAAATAAACCTTTCAAATTAAAATAAGGAAGAGGGAAAGAGAATTTAGTAAAATGATGGGGACATCCACAAATCAATTTAAGTTCTTCTGCAATAGAACTGAAGTACAGAATAGGCATTTAAGGTCAAAGCAATGAGCCAGTGGTCGTGAGCTGAGTCAGAGTTTGAGGGTTATGAAACTATGTGTCCAGAGCAGCTTGTTCCCACGAGGTGTCCTAGACAGAGATGCCAAAAAGGTTCATCCATGATCTAAGAAAGACCGAGGGGCTTAAGTGACACAGACAGGTGTTGAGGCTGGAGTAAAATACAGTCAGAACAACTTGTCCTGTAATCATGGTTATCTTTCTGCATTCTCACCTCTTATGTGGCTTTTCAAGCACATCTGCTTAAGATTTCCTCATAAAGAATAAAATAAAAATAAAGAAAAATCATAAACTCTACATCTTTTATTTACTGATTGATTTGGGTTTGCAGTTTTAATATTCCTGACGTGTGATCTTTGTCTGCCTCTGTTGGTGCCCAGAAGGAACTGCAATAACAGAGGAGGCCTTTGAGTGTCGCTTTTATTGACACAAGTCATTATTCTTAACAGTTAAAAGAAATGTAGCCTTCAGGCATGATCACGTCTGAAGCCTGCAACTAGATGATTCATTATTGATTAGTGCAGAATTAATTCGTTGTTTACTCAATAAAATACACGAAGAACCAGAACCAGTGAATCTTTGGCACGTTCGCTTGAAAAAAGACGGAAATGACTCATTAACTATTTAAGCAGTAAGTTGTTATTACAAGGATATATAGAGGTTATAACAAGTAATTACTTGCATGCATTAGCTGTTGAAAAAAAACACACTTCACTGTTAAACAGCTAAAACAAATACCTTTACACGGTGACTTAATTATTAAATTTTAACTTGTGGTTAAGACACACATAATTGTGTCCGTTTATTTTTTTTTCAGAGTCATATTTTACAGCAACGAATCGTTACCATGGTTCATTTACGAAGAAAGAATGTGTTGATTGTCTGTCATCACCTTCAAGGAAAGCCGAGGATAAATCAGTCTCACAATGAAAAGCTGTTATGTTGTGCTTGCACATCATTGTTATATCAATGAACTTGAAAATCTTCTGCACTCATTCAACCTGCTGTAGGGAAACGTATCAAAGGCTCCTCCTTACTGTCCTTGGAAGCTCTACTTACTCATTGTTAAAGCACACAGGAAAGAGAGGGAGCTGCAGCTAGAGCAGGCCATCCTGCCGAACACAAGTGAGGGGAATTACTAAGAGCACAGAGCCTAATTACAGAAATAAGACCCAGCAAGTTCTAGTTATTCCATCCAGTCCTGGCTTCCTGGAAGCACATTGCAAAGTACCTGATTTTCTCTTTAGATGCTTTTACGACTGACACTGTTTTGTTGTGCTTTTGTACTTGAGAGTGAAATAATTATGTATAAATTTTATTTTAACAGTTCTTTATGGAATAGCCATTGTTTTGTAGACCAATGGGTTGTTTGATTTTTTTAAAAAGGCTATTATAGCAGCAGTCAGTGACAGTTGCTGCTTTACAGGTCAGGATATCTGTGAGTCACGACATTAAAACCATGTACCTAATAATGCGTAGGGCCCCACCATATCTCCAAAAAGGCATTGCTATATATAACTTTATAGGCTATACAACAAAATGCTGTTTTGTCTGTGTTTGATGGTGCTAAGGCATTTCCTGTGCTTATGCAGTGTTTATGCACAGTAAATACAAAGTTTCTACCCAGATGTTTACCGAGATATTTACAGGGTTGAACTATTTACCTAATTTAAATCATTTGTACAGTTGTTTTTCTGTTTGGTGTTTAGACAAATAAACAAAAAACAAAAAAATCACTTCTATTGCATTCCCTGTGTACAAACCCCACATAATTGACGGTCTAGACATGCATACAGATGCTTTCTATTATCTATGATTTGCCTGCTTGTGACTGACTTCATACTATCATGCCAGCTGCACCAAGCTGCGCATGTTTGATCAGCACAGGAGTCCAAGTAGATCAATACACTGTCATGTAGGGTCATAATCACTCATTTGTATTCCAGCAGAGAGGTTGTGTAGTCTGCTAGAAGGGCAGCAACTCCTGCAGTTTGGTAGAGAGAAAGAAAAAAGGAGACAGGATTGTTACTAGCACTCAGTTTGCCTGTGTTTTGGTTAGATTGCCTATTTTCACTGCTCTTATCCTGTGCTCACTGTATAGCTATATGCAGTGTGGTCTGCGTAAGTCACTGTCTGCCTCCTGAAAAACACACTGAACGGCCACCAGCTGGAGAAAAGTTGAGCTTTAATGAGTTTAATGTGGTTCTTTAGAATACACCTAATCTGGGGAGTGATGTTTAAACTAATGAAAATAAGCACATAGTGTGTCTTTTATTTTTCTTTCATGTCAGTTCATTTCTATTGTGTAGTGTGCCAGCCTCTTGCAGCAGCAGAACATATGTTGCATTCTACTATTTCTTTTTTTTGCAGTTGTCATTTGAAAGTGAGTATTTGTATCAGCCATGAAAGCTGTAAAAAAGTCATGCTAATATGTACACATATTTAGTTCAAATTAAGGTTAATGCCTCAGCAGATGAATGTGAAGTCAGCTTGGTAGTGTCAAACTTATTATTACGCACTGTGAAGGTCAAACATGAGAGGAAACAACAAGCAGCATATTTTACAAATAAAGGGAGACTTTAAGGTTTAAATAAACCATTTGAAATCCTTTCAGTTTCTCTAAAATGCAATGTCACTTGGCAAAAGCAAACACGTTTTTGAGTTATGATACTTTTGAGATACAAGATTTTCACAGGACAGCGACCCCTACTTGGTTGTAGTCCATCTACCCAACACGTGTCGGTACATGTCTCTAAGCGTAACACTATCTGCGTGGTTTTAAAGCGGCATATTGATGGACAGTGTGTTTCCAGTGGACGCCTGCACGCTCCTCTCTTCTGCTTTGCTGTTGCTCTGCACGGGGCTGGTCCTATGCCTGGGACTCTGCGTGGCGATTGGAGCTTCCAGGCCGGGCCCTGGAGCCTCCCCTCTCTGACACACTTTCAGCGCTGCACCACCAGCATGACTTTCACTGCTCTCCAAGGGCGGGTGGTGCACCTTCAGGGAAAAACAAACAAATATGGAGGCTGTAGGAGTGCAAGTGTACAGACCCTGTTCATTTGATTGTCTGTGAGTATGGCGCCTCAGCATCTGTGGTATTGCTGCAGTGCATTTGGGCTTTATTTTGGAATCTATATGTTTGTTCAACACTATGTACACATGAAGGGCACCATGCACTGAGCTATATGTGGGAAGTAGTCTTGGAAGATTTCTCCTTGTGTTTTTATGTGCTGAATAGTTTTTGTATGTCAGGATATACATTTATCAGTCTATTATAGTTAATTGCAGCTGGTCACTGGTCACTTATAGCGAGGGAGCGAGCACCTGAAAAGCTTAGAAATCTCATACTTAAGACATAAAGTTAATAACAGAAGAGGTATCATGTTTTGGCATGCTAGTTATTTGTTTTTTTTAATGAGACTGTAATGGTAGAGTTATTATTCAGTCACACAGAAGTCATTAGGTCTGCAGAATCGATCGCCTGTCAATTACCAGCAGTTTTACAGCTGCAGTGCATCTTTATTGTAGAGTATTTTCCTTTAACAGCTCAGTGTTTTGACTCTTCTCAGACTTTGTCGCTCCACAATGTTACTTGATTTCTGTCTTGATGCAGTATTGCAGCTGAATTTTCCTGGTTGTTTGTTGTCTTTAGTGTGTCACTGAATTCTGCTTCAAAGTCTCAGCTCTGACAGTTTGACTAATGGTGAAGTATGATGAAGGCACAGTAGTGAGCAGAATCAGAGGAATCATGAGTTGAGTGGGTGGGACTCTTCAAGACTGTACAACCATTGTTTTTTTCGTTTTTTTCCCTTGAGATACACACGAACATAAGAGGAGGTGTGCGCACACACGAATGAAATTTTAAAAGGACAAAAGAGCTTTTTATGTCTTTCATGGGTTTGTTTGGCAAAGAGCCATCAAACAGTCAAAAGAAAGAAACAGAGAGAAAGAGACAGAGACATTCAGCCTTGCCTTTCTGAGAGGTTTCTGGTCATTCATATACACAAACACAAGTCAATCAAATTATTAAGAACGTAATTTAAAAAAAGCCATGAGGTCATATGTTGTACAGTTTTGTAATAGGGCAGCTAAAGATGCTAAAGAAATAAATGTGTTTTTTGAGGGTTCTGAAAAGAGAAATTTTGCAATTTTCTCAAAGTTTATAAGAAAAAAATTGCACATTTATGAAAAAAAATAGCAAATTTACACAAACAAAACAGGTGCATTTACAAAAAAAAACTAAAAGAACATGAAAATTTACGAGAAAATAACTCTCCAAAGTCATACTTTTATTTTATTTTAACACTACCCCTAGATCATGTCATATCAAATTTTTAGCCTAAAATGCTACCTCCTACAATGCTTTGAATTACATAGTGTTGTGCACTTGTATCAGAATTTTAATTCGGTTACAATTATTTCTTCCAACAATTATGAATAAAGAATAACATGGTAATGCACTTTTGTCCTGCTGTAAAACTCTAAACTCCACCATAAATGTGCAACAAGTTTAATTCAGCTCAAGCCTGGACAGCAAGCTTTTCAGAATCACTGTGGTTTTCACATCATCTTTACAAATTATTTCTTAATCAATTGCAAAGCGGTTATAAGTTATAAGATTATAAGAGACGTATCAATTGTAATTTTCTTGAGCAATTCTGACTTTTTACTTCTGCCGATGTCAATTTTTTACTATTTTTATATGCTTTCTAAGAACCATACCGGTAACTTATAGCATATACAAGCAAAAACAGGATACAGGATCTTCTCTCCCATAAGCAACATCAAAATAAAGGAATATTATACTGATAGTCTGAGGACCATATACACTAGTACAAAAGGATGCACAAAGAGAAATCTTGTAGCATTGTAAGGCCTGTGAGCAGAATAGAGGCTTACTTGGTTTAGCTTCACTTATTTGACAGGTTTCTAAAAGCATTAGTACCTTCACCGAGTCACTCATCAGTTACTTTATTTTTAGTTATTTTTGTTTTTTTTAATTCAGTAAAGCTAAGTTAGCTTTCAAAATAGGTTTGCATGTTTAAATTTTTCTTAGTTAATAATAATTCCTTTTAGTTTACTTTTTATTAGTTTCAGTATTCATTTTACTGCATTATTTTAATAAGTGGGCTATTTGCCAGGGGCAAGACTTAGGAAGTTTGTAATGGCTATTACTATGCAAACATTTGACTTAAGAGTTATGTATACATTGTATTCTCAATAAGCACGCACCAATGCCTCCTCAGGCTGGTTGTGTTGACAAATGTGAGCAAATTTACAAAGACTAAAACAAAAAACATTTCCTGTAACTAATCATGTAATTTTGGTTTTCTTTCCAACTTTCCACTTATATGTAGGTTCATAAAGTTCTTTTCACACCAGTTTTTGCTTTGAGTTTAGTTGAAGTTAACTATAACCTTGACATTTATGCACAACACAAATTCAAATAATGCCATACAAACTGTGGACCCACCCAAAAACTTTGCTCAGTAGCACTCCTGGTGGTCAGAAATTGAGCAAGCTACTCTGTGCATCTAGAAGTACGTAGTAAAAAGCAAGCACTTAAGTAAGTGGTAGTTTAAACTGTATGCTACTGTGTTGCCCTTTTTATATTCTTTCCACACATTACAGCTTCTTTGTTAAATTCATTGTGTTTTTAAAACCTCCATGAATGTAGCTGTCAGATACATGAAAATCCAAATTAAGCAGAAAGTTCCTCAAGTTTTTAGGAGTACTGATTTCTAGTAGGTGATAAAGGTACTGTACTATCCAGTACATTTCTGTACTTAAACTATTCAGTGTATATTATGTTTTTTTATTTAAGCGTTCATTTAAAAAAAAAAACCTGTTCATTTTAACAAAAGCTGATTTCTCCAACCAAAAGCATTCAACATGTAACAAACGTGACTAATTATTATTATTATCATTATTATTATTATTAATCAGCTCTAGTTTATCCAAAGAATGTAACAATAAATCCATCTGTAGTTCCAAATCAATTCAAATGTCACATTTGAACTGTAAAACCAAAAGAAAGGGAACAGAAACGAATTTGTTCTTGCAACAAACCGTTGATCATTTAATCACTGAAGTAGATTAAAGGAAAAAAAGAAGAATCAAAGCCTCTGGCTCTGGCAGAGGAAATCAAGAGTTTTAGATCTAGTGACTTTTGTTATGAAATTTGTGGGATGAAAGGAAACACAATCGCCCAAAGTCACACAGCAGAAGGAATTATTCTTTTGAACACTAAACCTGATTCCATATATTGGGTGAAGCACAAAGGAACAAAGGAAGAAACGTAGCTGTTGAATTTAGACACCCAAACCACTGAAGTGCTTCCAGAGAAAAGCCAGAGTTCAGCCTGTGTTTTGCTTTTATAATATATTTTATTATATATATATTTGTTATACAGTATTGTTTTGTCTAATATCTGGTGCAGGGTTCAGTGGGTGTGGTTGTAGACAATGAGATTATATCCACTGCTGAGGGGAGATTTATGGTATGTTGAGGGCTCAACACCCACTGAATACGCTGCAAGCTGAGGCTGTTTGACTCCGCTGGCTAATTAGTGCGATTACTGCACAGCTGGATTGGCCAGACATTTTACTGAGTTTTATCAAAAGGATCACTCACTCGATGGAGGCTTTGTCCCGACAACTTCTGCTTCAGCAGAGACTCTCTATTTTAGGACTTCAGGACTCTGTCTGGGGAGTAGCCATCTAAATTTAAAAGAGTGGGAAAACTGAAACAACCTTTACAGACAAAATGTTCCTCTTTTTGTTTTGTCTACAAATGCAAAATGCTTGTGCCTTCCAAAGCCATTAAAATCACAACATTGTTTTCCTTTTTGAAAGGACATCTTAATTGATAATAGATATTGATAGTAAGTGATTTCATGGAGGTTCAAGTATTTGTTTTCTAAGAGCAAATAAGCAGGGCTGCTTAATTATTTATCTTTGTAAAATAAAAAATAGCAACAAAAAGTGCTCATTGCAAATTCCCATAGCTTTGCTTGTTCTGTTTGACAAGCTTTTGACGATGGCTGATCATCAAAGGTTAAAATAACAGGTTATCAACATAGATCAACCAGTCATTTAATATTAATTTTTGCAGAACAAAAGCTAATAGTTCCCTTTTGACTTCTTCCCCTGAAGTCATCCTCTCTGCTAGTTTTCTTCATGCTAACATTGGCTTTTTATTACATCCATCGTCCCTCAATTTTCTTCTTTTTTTCTGGTTTTCTTGACCCCTTTCTACCCTTTCTAGCACTCTTTCTTTTCACCTCATCTTTCTAATCGACCCTCTGCCTTCTCTCTTATCTTCTCCAATCATCCCTTTCTCCCCTCTGCAGCAGTCCGTCAGACCAACACAGTTCATCCAAGCCCCCGCTGAGCTCCTCGGCCATGACATCGCGCATCCTGCTGCGGCAACAGCTGATGCGGGAACAGCTTCAGGAGCAGGAGCGGCGGGAGCAGCAGCGACAACAGGCCTCCCAGTACACACAAACTACACAGGCCCAAACGCCTGCCATCAATGTCAGTGTCCCGGTCAGTTTACCACCTGCTGCACAGGTCCCAATGGAGGTGCTAAAGGTAAGAAAGCATGGTTCAAGTTTCTGATGGTAGGGAGCAACAAAGAATGGGGTGATGTGTATTATTAGAAGGCTGTTACAGTATCTGTGTAAAGTTTCCACTTGTGGAATTAAACTTTGTATGTGTCATTGGTGCAGCCTGAATGGTCCAGATGTATTTATAGATTTTAGTGACTCGTGCATGAATAGTCGGGCAATCATGGTTTACTATGACTGTGTGTAAAAAAAATAAAAAAAAAACAGGAGTGAGTGAAGTGTGTTAAAATGCGTATATGGGGATTATCTTTCCTGAGAGAATTCCTCTTTAATGCATGCTGTGCTTCCAGCCATTTGGATTTAGCCATCTTTAATCCTATTTGCTCAGCTACATTCACATCTTTTCATAGCTTTGATTCCTTGGCAGTCTGAGGGACAGGAGACTGTTAAGATTTTCTGTACGAGTAGAGACCGTAGTGTTCGAGAGCGCATTTTAACAACGCATTTCGGTAAGTCTTTCTGTTTGTCCACAGCATGTGCTTTCAGAGGTTGCAATCTTGATGAAACATCTTTAGAAATTCATTCGACTTGTCGTGTTCTGAGGATTTTGGTATAATTGCTGGTTTTTTTGTAGTGTTTTTGTTCCGGCATTTTACCTTGAATTCAGTGGCTTTCCCTATAAAAAAACACTGTGTGGTAGTGATTTGGAAAGTGTTTTTGTGCAAATTATGAGAATTTTGTCTTCCTTACATATCAACTTAGTGCGTTTTTTTCAACTTTTCTGTTTGTGATTTCTGAAAAAAATATCAATATCGAGGTGTTAAGATATTGTGTAGTTAGTGTAATTACTCACGAGGACACTTGCCTTTTTGTGCATTTTTAGATTTTGCATTTCTTTAACATGGATTGTCAATAAGCAGCTGGTTTTGTCTCTGACTTCCTCTTTTAGAAAATTGTGCAATAACAGGAACAAGTCTTCCACGTGAAAAATATATGTGACACATAAGAGGATCTCGTACAAATACTTATGTTTAATAATGCCTGTAGTTAAAGGTCTAAAAATCTGTCTATGTCAGACATTTGTGCTTGTTAGGTAAAAGTTTAATCAGTTTATCGGTACTATGTCAACAGTTTAGTTGTGGTTTTATCTTGCGATTTCAACTGTTAACCCATACTGTTAGCTGACAGTTGTATGAAGCTATTCACGCTGTTTATCCATTATGTTTGGCAAACAATTTCAGCTGTGTGTATGCTAAAAGCTTTTAGTCATAATTTTACCTAGACATTTACTACATTTTAATTGCACTGTTTAATCTCAGAGTAGTAACGATGCCGATAAACTGTGATTTACTGAATAATCTTTGTTGAGTTAAATCCACCCACAACACTCTCTGAGATTTCATGGTTGCTTGCCCAGCCACACTTTCATCACCCTTGGATGTGTGTGGCATGGGCCAACAGTAAAGGACAAAAACAGTATAGCCATTGAAAACATTACCCTTCTCACGCTGTATAAACATTACTTACTCTCTATAATCTGCAGCTCTTTGAAAGACTTAGGACGCCCCCTCCCCGAACCCTAACCTTGTGTACAATACATCAAGTTAGAGTCATTTTTCTGCTTTGGCGAGAGCTTACAGAAATTCTTCATTGACTGAAGTCCTCAAATGAAAAGGCCATTCCAGCTTGGTGCTGTTGAGCTGGGTTAACCTGCTCTCCTGTCTGTTGGTAGATTAGCAGAGTCCACATAAAGCTCAGGGGTACCAGGCAGAGCTGCTGGACCTCAAAAAGTGCAAACATTAAGCTCAGATGAGTTTATCTAAAGACTGATTGGACCCTTAATTAACCAAGTGACCTCTGACCTTTTTAGGAATAAGAAGGGGATCAGTTTGGGGATCAAGAAAAAGGCGAGCACAGCCTTACCACACACCGAACGCTAATTCAGTGAAGAATGCTTGTAATTAGCCCCCAGCCCTTTCATTCCATGGAATATTTTAGAGAAAAAAACACTGCTTTGAAATTTACGTAGGATAGGTTTCTGAAAGGGTTAAAAAAATGATTTCTGATTTTTTTTTTTTTTCCTTTTTCAAAGGATTTATGGCGCCACAAAAAAGAACAAAGTACCCTGTACAATTTTTGTGGATTATATGACGGCTCGTGACCGATATACAAAAGAAAATACACAGAAGTACCACACAGATGTTTCAGTTTGGTTTGGATTTCAGAACTGATTCAGCACACAATGACATGTAAAAAAAACCTTCAGTGTTCATTTCATGAAATTACAGGATAGCTTTAATAACATTTCTCTCTGCAGTAACCAACACTGATTAATCACTTTAATCACGTTAGTTATTAGTACCTTTTTGCTCAATATGATTGTAGATGATGAGCAAATTCACGTGATCATAATCTCTGTTTTTGTTTGGTTGGAGTTTTTTTTTTGTTTTGTTTTTAGCAGTTCCTGCTCATTTTAACCCAAGTTTTATACAAACAACACACGATTTTTATTCGGTGGTAATTTGGGCTTTTGCATGACAGCATTACAAAAGTACAGAGGAAAACCCATAAATTGCTGCTCACATTAGCATCACAGTTGCTGTCTGCAAATTCTGCAGAGCACATTAGCAGCTTAACTGTGAGACAAAGTGGCCTATTCTTCTAGTCTGCATAGAAAATGGGGGCAGTCTTGTTAATATATCCTGGTTGGCCCATCATGGAATGCCTGTAGCATGCAAGTCAAAAAAATACAAATCACTGTTTGTCATTCTGCACTAACCCTACGTCCTCTCTTAGTACAGCTGGATGCTTTGTGCTCATTTCTGCAGTGTTTCTGACTCTTTGGGGGTTATGTTGCTTATGCCCTTGGGCCTGTTGGTGGCTAAAAACGAGATGATAAACAACAAGCTTTCTTGTTTTCCATGGATACAGATGCCAAGAGTTAGTAGTTGATGCCACATTTCTAAACTGTATTTTGGAAAGACTGTTAAGTGAAGTTTGAATGCTGGCTGCTGGCACTAAGATCTCTCTATAATTCATTATTCTGCGTGCTGGGCCTTTACAGAAACTGAAAACCTAATGATTAATTGTAGATGTGTGCAATAGTACGTGATGAATCTGTTCTAAATCAATCATGAACATCACCACGATAAACTTCTTGCACGTAGTTTATATGCAGCAGCAGTCCTGTAGATGTTTGTCACTCTATGTATGTTCTGTGTTTCCACAAAGTGTGCCAGCTTTGTAAGCACACCATTAAATGATCCTTTTTCCAGCTTATAAACTAATGATTTGTCACGCCTAAAATTATTTCCATGTAACAACAGGAGCCGTATGTCTTGACAAGGTCGAGATGTTCCAGGCTGGGATCTGTGAGCCTTCAGGGGCTCCATTGAATTCACCCAAAACAGTGAGATCATCTAATTATGTGGGATAATTTAGGAAATCCCTGAGGACAAAACAAGCTAGAAGAAGCCCCTGTGCTCATTTCAATGTAAAGACAGAACAAACAGATTTCAACCTGCTAAACATGTCTTTGTCACAGATTGCCTAAACCTACTAGTTACATGTACTAGAATGAGATTCATTCGAAATTATCTTATTTTTATGTTTGCATTGTTGTTTGCGTCATTCATTCATTTGCTACATTTTAGTGAAAAACGAAAGTCACCATTTTTTAAAGGGTTAAATTCCAGCTTCATATCTTAAAAAAGGCTCGTTTTTACAAGCAGTAGTCCAAATACACAAAATCTTCGGTTTACTATCACATGGATAAAGAAAAGCAGCAAGTCCTTACATTCTTAGCTCCACCGCACTTGAATCTAGAAACTACTTTCACCTTAAAATTCACTCAAATGACAAATTAAGTTATCAGAATAGGTTCGTTTATTAGTTTGTTTATTTTGTTTTTTAGCATTTTCATTGATCGGCCAATCATTTTAGTTAACCCTAACCCTGCAGTGTGTAAATGTAGCACAAATGAATCAAGACTTTTACTCACTCAAAGCCAAGTGTTACATGTGCTGTATTAATGGGTGTATGCAGTTGTGCTTGTAGTTTTAATTAGGGCACCTTTATACTTTGTCTTGTGCACATAATGCCCTGAATGCCCTCTTTGTTTCTATATTAGAATTCTGTGTGTGTGTGTGTGTGTGTGTGTGTGTGTGTGTG